TAATGTCCCCCTTTAAGTCCATCTTTTAGATGAACCTTTATATAAAAAAAATTACCTTCATTAGTATTCTTTATATAAAGAACACTAAGACAGATGACTTTATCTGAGAGGAAGTATATGTCCATGTTTAGATGAAGACTTAGAGCCTCATCAAGGTCTCATCACACCCTAAAATTCCAGATTGCCATGTATAGAATATTGAGCATGTGGGAGTTTCTTTTTAGAGCTACTCGCACATGCCTGTGACGTCAAATATCTATTGAAGTATGAAAGTCCATGTATGGTGGCTCCAGTGGAACCAAAATCTTATAATTATGAGGTCTAAAAACACTCGGCTGCACCTCATGCTTCTAAACCTGATAAGACATTATTGCTCATTCATTAAACATCACATAAAACTATAAGTAATACTGCATTATATACCCATGTATAAGCTGCACTGCAAGTTTCAGAAAACTTAAATAATCAGCATGATGAAGTCTGAGTGGGCTAATAATACATATATTGAAAGGGTATGTAAAAGTTATGAAAGGTGGATAAAGTGGTAATACCCTTCCCCTAACCCCCAGTAGTACAAAATGTACAATGCTTACAATTTCAATATAAAAAGACATACTTGATAATTTGATTTGGGTAATGCACCATGTAATGCTGTTTTGGGATTGGAAGCCGGTCATTGAGGTTGACATAGTCCTCTAGGTACTCCTCTATGAGAACTCCAAGATATGCAGCCAGCTGTGGTGTTGCTTTAGGAGCAAAAACAATTTCTTCAATTTTCAGTAGTCGCAAAAAGTTTTCCCAGTGCTCATCATTTTGTGGAATCAAGTCTCCTATAAGTATAGGAAACATTCTTGCCAGGCACCACATCCGAGCTGCTGGTGAAAGAAAAAAAAAAGAATATGAAATTATCATGTACTTTTAGTATACAACAAAGCCTTTTATATATATTTTTGTATATTTTTTTTTTTTTAAAATATAACATAATATATAATAGTAATATGTAACTCAACCATTGCAAAACATCATTCTCCTAACCTGACTGTGAAATCCTCATTGAATTGTTTGCCAATGACTGCGGCTTTATAGGACTTGGTTTATTGCTAGCATCAGATTGAGGATACCACAATCTTTCTAATCTGTCATTCACAATTTCAAGTGTGAAATAATTTTCCTCTTGAATGTACTTCTGTAACAGAATCTTGACTTCTAGGGCAGCACTCCCTCAAGTTGGTCATGCATGACATCAAGAACAAGTCCATCAGTAATGTGGAAGTAACGGGACTGGTTGAGAACACTTCTTGTTTTTACCCCATAAGTTGCTTCTAGATTTGCATCATTTTCTACAAGCCGGCAATGTCTGTCGTGGATTGCTCTTGTTCTAATTTGAAAATCTGCTTCTGTAAACTAATATCAATGTGACATTCACAATATGAGTTGTATAATAGTATATTCATCTCAAGTCCATGAACTTTGAAGTGTAGACTCATATTAACACTATTGACACAGGGTCTGATCAAAAGTCTAAACTTATTTGTAACAAAATTTAGAATGCCGGTAAATAATCTTTTACACTTGACACATTGAATAATGACCAAAAATGCATGCACACTACTACTACTACCTTTGTGTTAGTGTCTTCTCTAGTTGCCATACAAATTCTACAAATCCTTAGACCAGAAAAGCTCTCCTGAAAACCACCAAGAGAATGTGCCCCAAGATTGTCACTTGAATAAGGTCCAATGGAACCACTGAATGTTCTTTCTTGTTCATCTATCCAAAATGTTACACCTCTATCCTAGGAAGAAAACAAATACATATTTTTTAATTAAATTATAAATTAATATTAATGACAATGTGCACTTAATTATTTTTATATGGTTGAACTTACATTTAGGTGACAGTTAAGTGTATGCTACAATATACTTACTGCCTCTAGTTGATGCAGGTCTTGCATGAATGGCTGCAGTATCCTATTCATTCCATACTTTTTTATGAGCGGTACTCGGCACAAAGCAATTAGCTGAATTGAGTTGATAACAGAACGGTATTCTGGACTAAGATTTCCCAGATTGAAGTAAAAGGCTCCTGATGTTCATAAAAAAATCAATTTCAATGGCAATAGTCATAACATGTTGTGCCAAACCAAATGCATACCTCAAACAATGTTTTCCTTTGATATTTTTCAATTCTGCTTTAATTCTGCTGACTGTTTTTTACCACCTATTTATGTTTAAGGTATTTGGCTCAACATACTAGGTATGACGTATGAATCAAGGCTGAACCTTCTTTAGTTTGGGTCAACACAAATGTGCTATTGTGCAGCACAACAGAAGCACGTCGTATGAACCAGACCTTACATTTGCACTTATTTTACACTGCACATTTGAGGGAACTTACTCTCATTGCATGTACGCATTCAATATTTTGATATTGAACAGGATTGAAATTTAGGATGGTGGATGTTGCATGTCAAACCTCATAAACATTCATAAGTGAATAGGATATCCCCAAAAGATCAGTTTTAGAGATTTCTCAAAATTTCCCTGCCAGATATTGTTTAAACATGACAAACATGCAATTAATATCTTGTGGATAGTTTGGTTGTAGTTTGTTTTTTCATCATCTGCAAACACACCATCAACAAGCACACACACACACACACACACAAAAACAGGAGATTGTCAGTCAATAAATAATAATGTTCATGATAATTATTAATGCTAACAGCAACCTAACAAAACACGTAATAGTTTACATGCCTGTAAATACATGATTGAAAAGCATACCCTATTTTATTTTTTTGTCTTTGATCCAAGCGGGTTTGTTACTTGAAAATCATCATAGTAACAATGAAGAAGTAGTGCATTACCAGGTTGTCCAAAAAGAGCATGCATTTTGTACTGTTCACTATCACAATAGTCTCTTAGAATTCCATCATTTGAGGAATGACCATTCATAACCTACAAAAGTACCCAAATTATTGAAATGTGCCACAAGTAATTTGTTATTAGAGGGACTGTCATGTAAAATAATGGTATTGATTCAATATTGTCAACTTCAAAATGATATCTAAATTGTCACAAAAACTAAGAGTTTTCCAAATCACCACACCCAAGTTCCTCCATAAAAACATGTAACCCATACACTGAAGTGTTTCAATATAACTATTAGTGCAGTTTTCGTATGACTGTGAAACGTTCACGGCATGAACAATGTCATGGGAAGGAGTCAGCCAATTAAAAATCTAGAAAACATCACGGTCACTGCAAGACACGCACTCCTCGTCCAATCAAATGCAAGAAACATGGCACGAAACACTGCACGGACACTGTCACTACGCGGACACGGCACTGCTTAGCCAATCACATCGCGCAAAAAGAAAATCCAGCCAATTAAAATCCTACGTTACGACACGACACGTTCACGGCACTGAACTTTTCACAGTCATACGAAAGCTGCTCTATACAGGGACTGCACAGCATCCTAACAAGTGTGTGTGTGTGTGGGGGGGGGGAAGGGGGGGCGCTAACATCAGAAAATGCAAACCTAACCCTACCCATCTCTGCAGTTCCTGTTATATTCCCTGTTCTACATACATCAAATAGGATGCTTACCTCACATAAAACATCTGCCTGATTGAGCAAAGATTGTAGGGTTTTCAGTATCGAGATGTAATGAAATGATTTCTTGACCAGGCAGAGTTTTTGCTTGCCTTGCAGATAGCGATATTCAGCATATTGATTGAGGATGACTTCCTGTGGCTCCTATATATATTAAAACTCATATCAGCATAATAATCAATATATTTATATTATTTTGGTAATGCATGTGTTTATAAGAAGGCTAATTAAGATGACTTTAAAGCAAGTTAACACAAGTGATAAAATACATTAATTTGTCCCATATCTTCTAATCACATCTATTAAAGCCTGGACATAAGCTAAGGACTTACCACAAAGTTAAAATTCTCAACAAAGTACTTCATCTGTTGGTATTCATTCTGCAAACGTTGTTTTGCTTGGGAGTAGATACTTGGCTCATCAAGTACTCCAGATAGGCCCTCAACATCAGCAATTTCTATTCCACTGCTTTGAAGGCATGCCACCACTTTGTTTTTCATTTCCACTAAGCTACTGTCCACTAGGTCTCCTGTATTGTCAAGAATAGCATTGATTGTCTGTTGGCTTAGTTGATTTTCTTCTTGGTTTTTAAAATAAACAGTGCCAAGAATCTTGTCATATCGTCGACGTAGTTTGTGTCTTCATTTGAATCGTTGTCTTCTCCATCTTCTTCATCAGAGTTTTCATCTTCTACGTCTTCATCACCTTGCTCACTTACGTTCGCAAAATTTAACAGTGCATTCTTCTTCTCTTCTCTCTGGATATGGGATTTGAACGAATTGAATTTTCGAAATGACTGGCCGCATTGTCTGCATGTGATGCTAAAGTTTGGTTCATGACTGTGAATAAATTTGATATGATGTAATAACTTTTTGAAGCTTCTACCAAGAAAACTAGTACAGTATGGACAACTATGCATTTGGATATACGGAAAACCTTCGATAAACAACGACGCGCTGATGAAGGAGAACACAGAAAGACCCTAATTCAATGGCTCTTAAACGAATGTCTGGGTGCTGACCAGTAGAAACGCAGGCTCTGGGAACGAGAAATGGTAGTAGGACAAAGTTTGAGACAAATCAACTCTTTTCTTATAAAAATATTTATAATATATTTCATTACAACGTAGATATTATTTTAGCCGTCTTTATTTAGGATATATTGTATGAATGAATATTTTCCAATTTGAGTTTCCTGTTGTTTTGGCGCTAAAATTTAACCTCGATGTGATGAACATGACCATGTGATAGTGGCTACCAATCAAAAAAAAGGGCGCGAATGTACGAGATAAAACTCTTGTTCTCCATGAATGCTTTCTCTCACGTAGTCCAACTCTTTGCATTGCAATAGTCAAGTGAGCTCTTTAGCGTTTTCAAAAAGATGGCAAGTTTCCCGAAGTCTGTGGACGAGGTTAAGCAGTGGATGATACAAAATGGGTTTTCGTCCCACGCTTCTACCTTTGAAGGTAAGCTATAACTAGAGAATTTGTACAATATTAGGTTAACCTGAATTTCAAGTTTATTCGTACAAAGCTCATTTGTTGTCCTTCAGTACATGCTTAGATCTGAATTTTAGGTAGAGATATAATACAACGATAAATCATGTATTATTTTAGTTTATTTTTGTGAGGATTTCTTTATTTTCCAAGGTTATTTTCCTTGAACTTCGCGCTATCTGTACCATGTACGACCATGTACACACTCTGGTAGGATCTAGAGAGCATTACCCGTTGTATTGCAAATCGGTGCCATTTTGAAAAAAAAAAAACTAATTCATAAGGAATCCAGATGAACAGTAAAACCAAAAATCAAACTCGGGTTTTGGTGATTAAATATTACGAGGAGATTTGGTTGATCTCTTTCCAATGGAAAGATTCTTGGTTTTGTTCCAATGCAAAGATTCTTGGTTTTGGCGGGAACTTCGGTACCATTCATGCTATGCCGTGCTAAGCACACATAGATAGGTCTTGCCTAATACCTAAGTACAAAACTATCAAGCTTTACCCCACATTCTTTCGTATTGATTCCAATTGCTCTCTTTTCTTTCATAAGAGAACGAAATCGATGGCGAAGCAATGCAATGCTTAACGGAGAATGCGTTAGTGCAACTGATACCTGTGGTCGGCCCTAGAATGAAGTTTATCAAGCAACTTGAATCTTTGAAAAAAAACCTCCAGGCCCCGAGAGTATTGATGTAGTTGAAGAGGGTACCCCAATTGCCAATGAAGAAATGGAAGTACAAGACAGAATTCCAGCTGATACAGAAGTAAAAGCAAGGTTTGAATCTTAAGTTATGGTATAATATTGTGCTACATTATAATACTGGATCATTATTTCTATGACTTGCTTCAACAACCTTGATAACTTTGTTTTTATAACTATTTTTGCAAAACAATAGTTTAAAAAAAAAATAAAAGGTGCGGTCGGTTTATAGCCTTAGATCTTACAATCAGTGCTGAGCCTCTGCTTTTTGTGTAAGGTAGTTTAACTGCCTTTTACCATTACTTTACTCAATTGAGTATACATTCGCTTGTAAGTAGAGACTGTTTTGTAAGATACATAAGGACAGTATAAATTTGTTTTGTGCCAACATGGTTGCTGTGTAAGGTGTTTTTGTAAGCCTTTTACCAGTATCTCTTTTGAGTGCTATATTTAATAGCGCTCATCAAAGAGGACAGAAATGAATTTATACTTATTAAAATTTCAGAAAAAGGAAAAGAACTCATTCCTTGACGGCTAAGAGAAGACAAAGGCTTGCTCGCAACAAAAGGAAAAGGGAAGAAAGACAAAAGTCAAAAACAGGACTTGAATTGCTGATGAGTGATCTAAAACAGAAAAATCAGAATCTGCATGAAGCAATAGGAGTAGAAAAGAAAATGAAAGAAAAGTACTTCGAGATGTGGAGAGCTTCAGAAAGGAAAAAGAGAAACTAAAAACAACTAAATGTGTATTCCAGGGATGTGCAAGGAATAATATGAAAAATAATACTTCTAGGGAGCTTTTGCAAATCCAACCAACAATGCTAGAAGATCTTGGACCAGATGATAACCTAAGTAGTGGCAGATTTGGAACTGTGTGCTTAAAAAAATTTAGATCCACACCAGTTGCAGTCAAGTATTTAGAGTCATCTAGTGTTAAGGAAGTTCAAAGGGAAGCTTCATTTTTGGACAAATGTTGTCACATAAATCTCCCCATTATATTTGGGGTAAACACAATGCAGAAGCCTTATTTCATAGTCGCAGAATTTTATGGTAATGGATCGTTTAAGGCCTTGACACTAAGAGAACTTTTACATAAGGATGAAGAACATATTAAATCTTATGTAAATGGTCCAGAGTATTGGCTTCATTTAAGTTTCCAGATTACTGATAGTATTTGCTATTTACATACTATGGGAGTGCTCCACAATGATATAAAACTGACAACATTGTTGTTTCTGTATCACCTGTAAATGTTATCACACCTATCTTAATAGATTTTAGTAAGGCCACACTGATAAGTGAAGGGAAGATTAAAGTTCTTACTGCTGCGGAGAAGGATCGCTACCGCAAAGAGCACATGCAAATTGCCCCTGAACTCATTGAGGGAACTCATCCCCAATCTGTTAAGAGTGACATATATTCTCTGGGAATTGTTTTTGCCAGTATATATAAATTTACTAAATACAAACCCATAAAAGAATTAGCAAAAAAAAGTTTAATGCCCTTTCAAACCAGATGTACATCATCAGAGATTTTAGCAATTCTAATGGATCTTATGAAAGTCTGATTTACTTTTTTAGATGACTTCAATCTGATTTGTTTGAATTTGTTTCCATCTTACTTGGAGTAATGTTTTATGCCATTATACATATCAGCCATTGATAAGGTGTTCAGGTGTCATTGAAATGATATAATTGTTTTGCTTCAAGATGTCATGTTTGTTAAATAAAAAGTCTATTTTGATCCATTCCTTTCTGTCTTTAGGGACATCCATTATCTACAGCTATATTTTACTATTCATACAGAAAGAGGCTGGAATTTGATAACAAAGTTAGCAGTCCCTGCCCTGATGACAATATAGTGCTAAATGCAAAATGCTTTGGCCAAGAGTGTTAACACTTCCAACCAGTTTCCGACTGGATGTTACTAGAACACTGGCAAGCAAGGAGAAGCAGAACATCAATAAGAAGTTTAGAAGAGAGTTCATAGGCTCAATATACGATCATTTTGCCCGCTACACTTTGTAAGTATACTTGTTTGATATATGTTTACCACTTTTTGATTGATGAAAAGCCATCAGGAATACATTTTATTGTGGTGTAGGGAAATGCTAAAATTGGCTTATTGTATTTTCATCAATGAGATCTTATGTTGAAGAAGAAGGTACTGGTATTAGGTTACTAATTATTGTACATTTCATTTTATTTTTTGGTTTGTGAATTGTAGGTATCCCACCAAACATCAACTCACATCTATTTGTGAACCAGAAATATCCCTTCCTGAAAGATACCTCAATTGGTACTGGATATGTAAGTACCGAATAAGTACTCTAAGGTTTTGAAACAAATGATATGTTGATATCTGATGCTGTTATATGAAAACATGAAAAAGTTTGCTACATATCCCTCAAAAAAGTTTTCATATCGAGGCCTTAAAGGTTGATCATGTTCACTAGTAAAAAATGCAAACCATATGTGACCTTGCATTTTAGCTTATTACATGTTTTTTCATGACCTATCCAGAGTTTTCCAAATTGCTGACTGATTCAATGATCTAATAAAAAGGTAATTTGAACATTGACTCCCACAGTCAGAGAAAAGTCAGAGAATTTGGCATTTTTTTCAAGGTCGGGGAATTTTGATTTTGGTCAGGGAAATTTGCAATTCATCAAAATAGGGAATTTTTCTTTCATCTTTGCAACATCTTCTTGGTGATTATGTTTCCAAATGAAATTTCCCAAATATTCCTGGTGTCCTTCATAACAATGACTAACTAGAAGTGTGCCATTGGGTGATGGAAAAATTGGTTTTGGTTTTGGTCTTGGTCAGGGAATTTAACTTTTTCATAAGAGTGGGAACCCTGTTGAATTATGGCATGAAAATAATACTACAGCTACTAGAATGCTGGCACATAGTTTTTTTTATTTTGATTTATTACTCCTTGAGTAGCTTTTGCGAATACTAGGAGATCAAAAAAAGGAGATACAAAAGAGATTCAAAATCTGAAAAAGAAAAAATATATGTGCAGAGGATTCTAGTACTGAAATGTCATATAAATGCAAATCATCTATTACATCCGAGATAATTGATTTCAATACTATTTCCAGGATTCCTGGTACGCTAGTCTATACGAAAAGTTCCGTAATGAGAGAAAGTCTATTAAAGATGACCCGGAAGTAATCCTCAGGAAAAGAAAGCCCAAAGAGAGTTCCAAAGAGTGTGTGAAAGCTAAGCTTCGCAGAGGAGCCATAAACTGGGAGCCACCCTTTCCAGAGGGTGAGGATGAGGTGTCTCTACAACGACATAAAGATTTTATGAAGAGTGAATTTGAAAAAAGGTCTCCAGATTGGGCAAAGATAAGCAAACGAATGGCACTGACTTTCCCCAGCAGACGGAGACTAATGAATGACAATATGAGCATCAAGGAAATAAAAGAACACTACCCTACTCTATTTAAGTTTGAACAGGTATGTTAAGCTATATATTGTTGTCCTTGTGAACTATGAGTATGAGCAATCTAATTGTGTTTTCTCTGTGTCTTTCAACAAGAAAGTTGTGTAGAAGAAGGATGAGTTTAATAAAACTACCCCACATTAGGGTGATTGGCAGTCTGGTTGTTCTGTCAGGTCAGCACAATTTGCTGCCTTGAGTAACTGGGCAATTCTGGGTGTGTTGGGTGATATGCAGACATCCTATGCTTGCAAGATGTGAATGTCCTCTCTTACTTCATATGTTAACAGAAATATAGGAATTATTATTGATGCTATTCAAACCTTTGTTCCTTAGATACTGGCTGAATTTGAAAAGAATTTTGGGTCTAAATTCAAGTGTGGTGGATTCATTCAGGTCTAATTTTCAGCAAGTCACTGACCCGATTGTAAAACTAGGAAAGACAAAAAATAAGAGTAAATCAAAAGAAGAAATCCAAACGTTCCTGCACCTCCTGGAGGATGATGATAATGACATGAACGAAGATGAATCAGAACCAACAATTGGTAAGAAATATAAAAGAAAACAATATCTTATCATGCGAGCTCGTGCTTTTCCCGTGTATAGACCTAATCAGAATCAAATGCAAATTGCCCATTTCAGACAATGTGATGTTTACAATATCGTCTCTGGAGAATAGTTTCTTTGTTTTTCATCACATGGTCTGAAATGGGCAATTTGTATAGTCAAATAGGTCTATTACAACCCATTTTCAAGTGCAGCAACAGCACATGCTCGAAAGGTCTGTCCTTTCAAACGTTTTAATATTTTTTCAAATTTTTGGGTATCTGATGTCTTCATATCATATTATAAACAATTTACTACACTGCTAGTTTGTGTGTTACCCTGGACAATCTTACTCCTGAGCTGTATTTTTCTTGCACCGGAAGGCTAAAAAAAAATACCGTCGCTTTACTAAAATTTATTCAGTGTTAACACAGAGCAGTGCAGTAAACCTCTATATTACTTTGGATCACAAATATTAAAGGGCATCATACAATTAAGTAAAAAACAGTGCAAAGATTAAAACTAAGCCAGTTTTGATGAACCTGGTCCAGTGTAAATACCCTAATTGTAGTGAAATCAATCTAAATCTTTCAATTATTTCTAGAGGAACAAGCTGAAGTGGCCATGGCAGTACTGCCATACCTTCTTCTGCCAAAGTCTGGCCTTATTTCAACAGATGACTTTGTCCATTTTCGTATTTGTAAGTATCATCAAATTATATTTATTTCTGAAAGAATAGTTAAAATTAATGGTTCTAGCATCTCTATTTGATTGACAAGATTACATTATTTTAGGATTTGGGTGCCACTCAATTCCAACAATTTCATTATTGAACATATCGGTACATACAGCTTGTTAAGGTGACTGGCTACTTTTGGAAATAATGTTAAACTTTTTTTGAAACTACAATTTTCCGAAGTAAAATTTAATGCTTTATTTCAAATCTGAAAAGAAAAAATTGGTGTCCAGAACTCTTTTTGAGATAATCAGCATTTAATGGTAGCCCTACGTACGAGTTTTTGGCAAAAAAAATTGCACCACACAAAGTGACAAGAAAAAAAAGTCATAGTAGATAACATAACAGATTTTACAGCTAAATTATTATTCATATGATAGCTAGCAGTCTAATATAATTCGAACATTAATTATGACCTATCATATTGTCAGTCAAAAAGGAGGTGCCAGAAATCACATTGGTTATAGTGGTTCCCGAAATTCTGCGAACTCATTAGTTGCACATTTGGAAATAATTTGGTTTTTCATTGCAGCTAGTCAAAAATATAAAAGGCACCGACTGATTATCATTGATTGACAGAAGCAATAGATTCAAGAAATTCTCGTCAATAAATTTGACAAGCTGTATTTTTTTTAAAAAAACAAATATTGTTTTCAAACACAATAATTATTGACTCTGGAGTTTTACTTTTTTTTGTAGGAAGATGAAGATATTGATGAGATCGTGAAGATTTCCAACAAGCCTTTTCCAAGAATTGTATTTAAAGGGCAGCTAAGTTCCCCCGACGCTATCTATATAATAGCAGATCAGCAAGTGCTATGCAGCTCAACAAACACCACTCTGTTGGAGGCCACAGTCTGTTTGATGGCATGTTACTATGTGTTCCTTTATGACTATCCAAGTGGCCTCAATAACTTCTATTTGTACTTGCAAAAGTGCATATTGCAACTTCAGGATGGGAAGAAGCTACCATCCACAGTAATTAATTTTGTAAATGACATTGATGCTATGTCAAAGATCTGAAAATGTGATTTTATAATTACTTCAATTGAATGATAACTTAATTATACTTCATGTGTGGTTGATATTCAACCAATTGCATATACCTGTACACAATATATTGATTTATTTCGTAAATTATTGGGCAAATGAAATCTAGGGAGTGAATTACAATAAATGGTCCAAAGCTATTTGAAAAAGTACTGTTCCCTTGTAGGGCATATTGTTCAGATGGATTAGGGGTATTAATGAAATGGTATACCTGCATCAAAGGAATTGCACTTATTTAAAGATGGCTCTAGACTATGTATGGTAATTTACTCTGTAGATTTCAATTGCTTGATAGTGATTTGTAAAATATATTAAAATATTGCTTACAGTGTATTTTGCCCTTGTTTGAATGCCTGCATCATGTGATCAATGTTTAGATTATCATTCAATCTTTTTTTTCAAAACCTATTACAGCTTATCCAAAATTAAAGATTATTTATGATTATTTGAGTGCTCACACTAAATTCGTGTGATTCAGTATTCCCTTAAATACATTTCATTGCATGCACTCTTTAAATTAAGGATTTCTTAAAAATTGTTACTATTTATTGCTAAATAATGTTAGACCATTTTACATTCATGGAAGAGTGGACAATTTTTATAATTTTACATTTTACATGCATATCTTCAGAATTTTAGCAAACAAAAAATTATTCGTTTTGCAAATTTAATATAGCTTCATGATTTCTAGTGACACATGCTTTTATTTATTTAGCTTGATATACCTCTTCTAATAACATTGATGATAACCAATCTGAACAGTTTTATGCCATGGAGGTAACTCATTGTGAGAGTAAGCTAACTCATTTTCTGTAGTAACTTAACTCATTTTTTTGAGTGAAGTGAAGTTTAACTCAAAATAAAGAGTCAATCTGGATGCATTTCGTATGAGTTTACTGAACACATTATCAGAGTTGTCTGTACTCATTTTTGAGAAAAACCCACTCATGTTTTGAGTAGAGTTAACTCATTATTTGAGTACTTCTAACTCTTTTTGAGTTGTCCTAACTTACTCCAATGAGTTAGTTTTACTCAATATAGATAGTTAATCCAACTCAATATAAAGAGTTATTCTGGATGCAAGTTGAACTCGTTATATTGAGTTGGAATCACTCAACTTTTTTAGCGGTGTACATCCATAATGGAAACAACTCCTGATTATGGTTGCATGTTGAGACCTTTGCTATTTGTCTGCGTTTAAAACTAGACTGTGAATGGCGGAATATAAAAAAGAGAAGATTCCTAGGGTGAAACTAAAAAAGAATCCTGACTGTGAGCACAAGAATTGAGGAAACTCGATGAGGAATGGTTGAAGAAACTCACCGAAACGGATAAGGGCTCGTGGTTTAAGCTACGCGCACACGGTCGGCAAACATTAACGAGCTCTGCCGCAGTGTGCTCAAGCCGCTTTTGAGTTTAAAAAAAATTCAATCTAAATTGCCGTTCAGTAGATTATTTAACTACGGTCTGGTTCGGACAACTATTACCGGCAAAATATGTTTTTGCTGAGAGTCTTCCTAGACAACGCGGGACACTTCTGTGTTTCTATTGGCGGTCGGCATTGCGAAACATTTAGAGTGTTCACATGACTTGGCATGTGGTCACTTAAAGGCGTGAATTATTGGCAAAGATTTGGAAACAAAAAGAAAAAAAAAACATGATTTGTAATTACGCGATAATAGAGAATGTAAACCATACGGTTTGCCTTGAAATTCGGTTTTCGGACTCCCCAACATGCCAACCGCAAAACCCGGTGAGGGTTCCGTTTTTCGAAATGAATATCCCGCAATTGCCTGGATGTAAAAAAACAAACAAACAAAACAAACAAACAAGAACATTATGGGGTGGTAATAAACTGAATATCAGCAGACTGCAGAATCTTAGCAATCTCTGGAACCAGCGGAACCTGCGGAACCGTTATGATGAAAAGAAAAATAATAATAAAAACTAAGAATACTTTAACGCTGTTCGAGACTTTGTTTTCGAGTATAAAGAAGATAACGTTATCAGAGAAAGGTGTTTGTTAGTTCTTTGTTGTTGTTTTTTGTCTGTTTATTATGTTTTTTTAAATCTATCTACCTTGACGTCCAACCACAGGAAGCATCCGCGAATTTGCAATATGCTCTCGTTAAACAATGTGTTGGTGAAATATAAGGATTCGCATGGTAATAAATAGTCGTGCTCTCAACATTCAAAGATCTGGATTAGTTTTGAACAGGGACAAATTTAACCGCCCAGGTGTTTGTTCTTTTACATCTTGTGAATTTTTTGTGGCTGGTTTAGGGCAATTTAACTCGATTTTAGTTCATCTCCTTTGCCTTTTACATAATACTTTCCAAGTTACGTATGCGAGTAACGCCAGTCAAGCGAATCCATAAGACATTCGCTTAAGGTCAACCGTATCCTTAAAAATGTTTTCGATATGTAACAAGTTTTGTTCAGCTGGTTGCAGAGATGCTGCATTTCTTTCTTTTAATTTCTCAGTCAGCTCCTTAGGGAAGATAAAAAAGTCATAGGTAGATTTTTTTGTCGCGAATAAAATGCTTTAGTAATGGTCTAACTTGAAATCTAAAAAACTCTTTTGTTGTTTCAAATGTTATTTTCGACATAACAATCAAACACTTTGTCCATATTCTCTTCTACAGTCATCCTTCATTTGATGATGGAATTGCCAGGAACAGGTGAGGCAGTGTAATTACAATTTAATATTTATGTATCTTAAAATGAACTGAATAAAAAGGATCTGACTGAAATATCAAAATGATTAGTCATAGACTTTCTGCTGCAATGACATCGTTTTGCGATTAAAAACGTTAGTTGGAAAGCAAAACAAAAAAAAAGTTAAAGATTAACGATGCTATTACCCTGATTTCCAAAATTTCCACTCAAAACCTTATCTAATTCTATTTTTTTTCTTCGGTGAGGAGGAGGGTTTTGATGCCCATTGTTTTTTTTTATCATCAGTGGTGTAAATCTTTTTTCTTCTCCATCTTTATCGTTGTTGCTGTTGTTATTATTAGTATACATTTTATTTTCGTTTCTTTATTCGTTTGTACTTTCTTATAGAGTGCCAAGCAGCCTGTTTCAATTCCTCTTCCTACATATTTTCGAAAAGTGGAAGAGATTTCAATGAAAACTGGAGTGTCTGTAAAGACCAGCGAGGTTACTTAGTCTCCATCGAAACTGAAGAAGAATGGCAGTTTATCAGTCATGAGATTCAAAAGCGTGGTACTTGGAATACTAGTGCGTGGCATATTGGTTTAAGGAATATAAACGGGGTTTGGACTTGGATTAGTGGAGATCAACTGAGTATATCGAAATGGCAAGAATCTGAGCCAGGTGATAACGACGATGGAGCGGAAATATCCAAGAATGGAGGCCTCTTTATTGGTATCTCTTGGGGTGATAAAAACGCCTTCATTTGCGAGGTGCCCGGAGGTAAGATCACATTCCAACCATAAAGTATATTATGTGCTCAAACATTGCAGTCTTGCACTTGTTTTACTTAAAAGTAAAAATGTTGTTCACATAATATGCTCGGCTCACCTAACTTGTACGTGTGAGCGACGAATGAACTTTTAAGCGTGTATTAATGGTTGAAAATAATGCCCATGAAAAAATCCGGGACATATTTTTTGCATCGCCAGCAGCTGAAAAAACAGCGATCAAGATTTTGTCGAGTGCGTTGAGATTGAAATAATCTAGCCAACGGAATTTTCCCTCGCCATAAGTTCAATGAGGTCAGTGAGTGAATGCATGTTCTTTTAAACATAACACATCGAAGTATGTATGGCCAAGATCTTTGAGTACCGGTACTGAAGACAGAGTGCACAGTTTTTCCCAGTACAGACCGACTTCGGCTGGTGAATAACAGTTTTTTTTTTTCTTTTAAACTCAACGAAATATTTCCCAAAAGAACCCTAAGGAGTTAGTGCTGTAATTACGGCAAGATTCTCCATGAACTGAACAATTTTTGAACGAGTAAATGGTAGTTGAGGTAATGCAAGTTAAATAGAGGCATCACTTAATTATTTTTATTTGTGTTATGAAAAAGGTGATTTAAAAGGCTTCTTAACAAGCTTTGAAACAATGTCATTTTTCTACAAGTATCTGTCACAATCTGACATCTGTCAATTTGAGAGCGTGTAAGAAACAAAAGCGCCTGCACGTTTTAAAAGAAAAAACAACAACGACAACATCAACAGCACTGGTTTGGCAAACAAACTTAAGTTCAATGTCTGTCATGAAAAGTATTTTCTTTAAAAACAGTCAATGATCTTACGGAAAGTATTACTCACTTCCATCGACTATTGATGAACGAAGTATAACTCTGTTCGGTCAGTAAATGGAAAGTAATTGTAAGTAAATTTAAATCTGTTTGCTTTGCTCATGTGCTTGGTGCAATCACGTGTGCAAATCTGGTCCTTTATCAAAAGGGGAATCTTAATGCAGCTTCTTCTCGTTGAATTCCTTCGTTTTCTGTTGCGAAGTTTACGGTACAAATGTCCTAATTGAGCAGACTCGTAAAGACTTACCGAAAGCGTATTTAAAGTATAGAACTGAAGATATCGTTCACTGTTTTCAATGAACAAATTGTTTGAAAGAACTCAGATATAAAATAAATGAAAACTCCATCAATTAATTCAATTTTAAACAAATAGCGCACGTTCTAACTTCCTGAATTACTTCTAGTGAAGGTCTAGGTTAGTTACAAACGGTTTTTAGGCCGCGTGTCAACCCATTTAATAGCATATTTGCTACCAAAAATCATTTCAAAACCATTTTTTTTACCGGCAGCCACAGTGACTTGAGAGAGAGAAGGAGCGGATTAATAAGTTATTAATCAACTTGATTTGCTTAAAAATACTGCCCAGTTGGCAAACGAAATATATTTATGGAAAATGGCAACGAAGCTAGGGTTCTAGCCAGCGTTGCCGTGCCGCTAGGTAGAGATAGGAAAATCCGGACCGCATTAAGAACCACAAAAACTGCACAATTCGTTACCGTGCCTTCTAAGAAAAACAAATGATAAGTACAGTTCTTTCGGGAAACGTTTCCGGGAAAAAGCGTGTCAGAAGTGCAAGCGATAACCTTGATAGGTATTACGGGTAGCTTTCAGGTCATGGTTAGACGACCTCAGGATTTCAGGGAAATCTAAGAAAATGTCACTTTAAGGACGAGGCATCACGGGTTTGAACCTATTTTTAATACGACTGACTTTAAATTCTAAACTGCATGAAAAACAGAAAAAATTACAAGCGAACCCTATTTAATTTATCTTTACAGTGTTGATTGCCGCCACCCAGATAATAGCGGAGCTCGCAGAGCGTAGCCCCATAGTTATAAAAAATTGTCGTAACCCATCAAGCCGAAAAAATTTGGATGTACGACCGTACGACCGTACATGGTGCTACTTTTAACATGCGTGGTCAACTGTAACGTGGGCACGCCAACGTCACGGCTTTGTTCAGTAGTCCAGTGGTCAGTGCAAGGCATTGTGCCCTTGAGACATGCGGGAAAAAAAAATGCGAGCTCTACCTTTAGGCTTGGCGAAAACTATATGTTATTTTAAGATCGTCGCGTGCACTTTAAATTTTTGTTTTTGTTTTGTTTTGTTTTGTTTTTTTCCGACAACCTTTCCCATAACAACTGAATACGGTTACTGCGTATTTCCAGTTGCACATATATGAAAACTTACATTCATATTTAATTTTACGTTTTTTAAGTCTCTTTAGATGGGGGAGGAAGAATAGGGGGCGGGGTGAGGGGAGGTGTCAGCCTAACAAGGAACTAATAAACATCCAAAAATTCAACTATTAAAATTACATGAACTCACTGATAATCTTAGCTGATGCAAAGTAGTTAACTAATTCAGAAAAGCAGGGAAGAGATGGTAGACGCCGTAGTGAAGAAACCTGTACTGTGTTAATTGACAGTGATCAATCAAACATAAACTGCAGATGTTAAATTAAAAAGAAAGGAATGAAATAGAAAATGAAAAGCAGTCACGTTTTCTTTCTCAGTTATTTTTCTCCTTTATTGTGATTGTGATCATAGTCTCTTTATATTTTGATCATTATTATTATCACTTTGCTTATCATCATCATGATAATTAGTATTTTTGTTTCCGTTTTCATCATTTTGTAGGATGCTCAAACATAACTTTTAAGAACTCTTGGTACATATTTTCGGTGGTTGGATGGTACTGGCTCCGGAACAGAGAAGCCTGCCGAACCCAAGGAGGGGACCTAGTTTCCATTGAAACCGAAGAAGAATGGAATTTCATTAATGACGAGATTCAAAGGCGGAATACTTGGAACCATGGAAATAAAAATAAATGGGACATTGGTTTAACAAAAAAGGCCGGCAATTGGACCTGGGTGAATGGAAGACCGCTGACTATTTACAAATGGGGAAAAGGGGATCCAAGTGGTGAACACGATGCAGCTTTCATGTACAAGCTGTCCAATAATGGCGAACAGGGCGTGTTTGGTAGCGTTAATGGTACAAGTCGGAAAAACTGGCCGGCTTATATTTGTGAGATTTCCAGGGGTAAGTTTTTTTGTTTTGTTTTCGTTTTATTATTATTATTACTCTGAGTAAACTAAAAGGCACCAGAAGCGCTAAGGCGTAATAAAAACATTCTTTGTTAACGTTTGTGATACTCACGACCTAATTTTTATAAACTCTCTGACAGTCGGGATCAAGTTTACACTTACATTTGTATGAATATAAATGTGTTAATAAATGTGCTAACTATTAATTCTCCCCTTCAGCTTCTACACATCTCTTTGTTGGTTAGTTATAAGGATATGATGTTAGATCAAGAAAACAACTTCTATCTGATAAGTTTGAGTATTCTCATTAACTGTTTTGTGGGATAATGTAAGGATATCACAGGGAGAAGTTACATGTTAATCACTTCTGGGAGTTTAAGGGTTAAATGCGGCGAATATTTTGCTTAGATTTCTCATTAAAGTAACCTGTCTGAGTATACTCCTTTTTCTATAATCTTGCTTTTCCAGCTCACGCTGCATTCTAATTTTTCGACTAAATTTTATTTTCTTTCAATATATCTGGAACTCCTGGTGTTAGATATCACAGGTCTATTTAGAACTTTTCTGTACCGGTAATTGCAAGAAATTGTGCAGCTGTATGAATGTGCATGAATTTTTCCCCTGACTCTGTTAATGGTCTATTAGGTGTAAGGATTGGGACTGATAGTAATACTTACGATTTTTCTACAGCAATAACCCCTACAGCAATAACCTCTACAGCAATAACCTCTATAGCAATACTCCGTACAGCAATACCCCCTAGAGGGGGGAACTGCTCCATCACTCCGCCAAGCGGCATCTCACCGGAGACTAATTTCAGTCTGAGCTGTAGCAACTGGGAAAGTGACAACACCCCTCTTTCCTACCAGTTTCAATACAGGCTAGAGAATGGTTTGTACAATGTGTTATATCGTGGCGCTAAGAACAACATAACTACCTCTTGGATACCACCTGGGAATAGTACAGACAATTTTACTGTCAAAGTTAACGCTACAGTGACCGACAATTTTGGAATTTCTGCCTCCCCAGTGTCTTTGAAAGTTCAGGTAGGTTGCTAACCATTAGTTTAATGTCTACCGTGAAAAGATGTGAGAATATTTGATTTCTTTTAGTCCCTATTAGAAATAGATTAATTATAGTTATAGATAACTGCTTTTGACTTTTGCAGATCAAGCCATCTCAGAATGTAACACCCGATTTTATTGCAAACCTTCGTGAGAAATTCATTAAGATCAAAAACCTGAGAGAAGCGGCGCTACTAGCAAACGTTTTACTTCTATCAGTTTCACATGAAACCTCAATGGATTTGCAGGAGAAATACAAGGTACTTTTCAAACCCAATTCGTTACTTAAAAAGTGAAACAAAACTAGTTCATTCTGATAGTATCCGAAAAGCAAAGAGTTTACCAAGGGCCAAACGTGCAAAAAAATGAGAAGACATTTATATGAAGAAAATAATAACAATAAAATGAAAAAAAAAACTTTCGAAGAACAGACAAGTATAATACATTAAATATATCAACATACTTTTGAGAAAAATGGAGGCTTATGAGTCAAATATCTGATGTTTTTGCAGCGCGAGAATCGTTTCGTGCATTTTAAGCGTTGACTTTCCATTATTCTCTTGTTTCACCTTCCGTTCTAACGAATGAAGAATGCTGAGGAGAATGCTTTGAATAAATTTCAAAGGAATACTTACAACGTCTTGAAAAGAAATCACCAAATATTCCTTTTTTTTTCTGCTTAGACGTTTTCGGTGATTTGATGCATTTAGATCAATCATGCCCTTGCAAATCATTTGATGGGTTTTAATTGGCAATGTCATAGGGAAACCTGATACGTTGAGTCTTAATATGCCTTTAGATCTATATCTTTGGAACGAGCCTCACATGGGGGATACAGTCTGGTTGCCTATTTCTTTACTGGTTTAAATAACTTTAAGCTAATATCTTTATCGTTGTTTAAGGTGATGAGCGACATCCTTGATAAAATTTCGCCCTTGGAAGCGAAAACTGTCTTCGACCTGCTTCAAAAATCATCAGTTATCGGCTCTGCTCTTCAGGTTCTGGAGAAAGTGCCCCATCAGTTTTTGGTAAGTTAATTACGCAATATTGTTTGGAGCTGGAATAGCGTTGGTGGTTACGTCAAGTTTTCATACCGTGAAACTATTTGACCAGAAAAGTTCAAGAAAAACAGCAATAACAACAACAGCAAAGACGAAGAAAACGGAAATGAACAAGCATAAAAACAAGCAACTGTTGCGTTATCAAATGAACCAACCTATAGTTTTGTACATACTTTAACTAATTCGCCACAAATTGTCTCTAGGACGGTCATAGGAAAGAAATCTGAAAGCAAGCATTTTTAGCTTCATTTAAATTCATTTGCACTCCATAGAATTTCTCCTTATCTGCTATCAGTTCAATGACGTCACGACTATGGTCTTTTGCCCAGAAACAAGACGTAGCAGACATACCACTGACAAAGCAATCAGCAGAAAACTTGGCTTCATGTCTTAATAGCGTGTTGAAGGCAGCAGCAGTGATTGCATCAGAAAACTTCAAATCAAGTTTTCAACAACTGGTACTGTAATGTACATTAGTCTATATTCATTGGCGAATGGTCCATTGATGATTGTTGTAAACTTAACCGTTACTTCCTTCTTCATTCATATTTGGGACCTTTTAGGTTTTTTTGTATGTATGTTTGTTTTAAGCTTACGAAAATCCATAGTTTGCTTGCATTATATGGTTATTTATGAAATTTCTACAGGGTAAACTACTGGTGAAGATTTCAATGAAGACCCTCGAGAAAGTTGCAGACTCAGTGTTGGCCTTGACAGTACCTGATGAAAGAACGATATCATTCACGGCAGGACAACTATCCATGACAGTCGGAAGATATAGCCTCCAAAGACTTTCAGGACTGGAAATAAAAGCAGGAAAAGGCCGGTTTATCTTACCGTCTAAAAGCCAATTGTTACTCTCTGGAGTGAACAAAACAAGTTTTGTAAATGTTCAGGTAAGTATTCCTGCCCTTCAGGCAAATTTCAATCCAAGTTTTTCCAAGTCAAGTCATAATAGCACTTTATGTACCTTAAAGGTTGCTTATTACCTCCAGCAATCATATTTCTTGTTCTGCTTTTGACGTGTTCAACTCTGGCACATGGGCAGCAAAAAAGAATCGAGTCATGTGACCGAAGAGGCCACATGAATGTTATTTATTTTTCGTTGTTTTTCAAATATATTTTCAGTTTTATTTTGATCTCAACTTATGATAACTTATGATTAATAGTAAGACGGAGTACCATGTTTACGTGCTCAATTATAGCAGTCCACAGAACAAACATTCTTAATTATTCTTCTTTTAGATGCTCTCATTTTCTTTCAACCCTTTCACTTGGGACGCCACAAAGGAGCGAGTTGGCTCTGATGTTGTGACCCTGCACTTCAAAAACAACGACAGCGAGCTTATTAAAGTATCAAATCTTACGGAAGACATTGTTATCGTTACGCCTCTAAAACTTCAGAAAATCTCTGCTTCAGAAAAGTCATGGTATTTCACAAAGAACGATGATCTACGTTTCCACGAGGTAAACGTCAAGTATGAAAACACCCTGTTAATGCTGGATATCAAACCTCAAGATCCAACCGTTCATCTGTTTGTCTATATGCGTTTTGGTCAGCGACCGACAACTCAAAACTACGACCTCAATGCTACTATCTCTTATGACAAAAAGTGTGTTTGGATGATAAGCGCACATGACAAAAGTGACGGGCAACCGATCTGCTCCGTGAGTCCACGTGTGCCGATACAAGTTCTGGCTGAGCGTCCTGGGAAATACTTTCTCGGCTTAAAAAATTACAATGCCACAGTTAACTTATCTCACACAAGGGAGAAAAGATCTTGTCTTGGTGGAAGGCGAAGGAAGCACTCCTGCGTCGAAGTCAAAGATCCACCACCTGCCCCGCCCCAGAGTGAAAATTTCCCTCTGATGCCAGTTTATGATTCCACAACAGACCAGAACTACACTCTGATGGTGACCTTGGGTAGTTGTGTTTACTGGTCAGAAGCATGTGACAAGTGGATATCATCTGGTTGTCGAGTAAGTGAAAATTAAATAACGCTTTTCAGTGCAATCTTTTTTATCTAATTTGGAATCGTATTCAACACTATTCAGATAATTTGAGCTTTCGCGAGTAATGTTTGCAAAAGTGCTGTGGTATTGTAATAATCTTCACTCATTAAGCTTATCATTTGATTCAGGCTAATCTTTGATTAGAGAACATTTTCAGACGACAGTCGAATCGATTTGATAGCCAACTGAGGCATAGAAGCGCCTTAAAACAAAAAAGATACAGTGTGATTTATGGTGACAGCCAAAATGATAATTTTTATCATTAACATCTTGCATTTATGATTTCAGGTTTTAGCGGAATTAGATGGATTTTTAAGCTGTAGCTGTAGCCACTTGACATCATTTGGGGGAAGTCTTTTAGTGGAACCGAATCCCATTGACTTCGACAAAGTCTTAGTCGAGTTTCAGCAGTTATCAGAAACTGGAAATATCGCAGTAATTGTGGTTATTGCGGTGATTTTATTATGTTATGTGACTGTGCTTGTTATCGTAAGGAAATTCGACGAGGAAGACGCCAAAAATGTGAGTGTCGAGCGAGATTTTGCTTAGGACTGTTGTTTTAACGGAGCATGGTCTCCAGCATGACCATTTCACTCCCATGATTTTGTTCTTAAATCTCCCTCCGGTTGCTATACAATTTGTTTGTAAATAAGTCATGACAATTTGCTAATAGATCAAGATAACAAAATCTACCTGATAATTTTGAGTATTCTCATGACCTGTTACCTGGATAATGTACGGATATTTTTCGGAGAAGTTGCATGTTGGTCACCCCTGGGAGTTAGAGTGTTGAGAAAATAAAAAGGTTTTAAAAAAATGAAGTGACAGCCTTTTTTTTTTTGGACTGGAACCAAAACAGCGAATTAAGAATATAAATCAGCTAACCATGTAATTCATGCTTTATCATGTTTTTTTTAGAAGGAATCACCGATCCAACTTCCATCACCTTCAAGCAGTGCCTATGAATATAATATAGTGATTACAACAGGGGTTTGGAAAAACTCAGGCACGACTGCTCATGTTGCTTTGGAGATTTATGGTTCTGATGGAAAGAGTGGCATTCTTCAGCTTAGCCAAGAAGAGCCTGGTGCAGTGAATACGTTATTCTCCCGAGGTAATTCAAATGTTTTTGTACTTTATGTTAACAAATCACTTGGTGTGATTCAAGGAGTGCAGATTGGACATGATAATTTTGGAGATAATCCCTCGTGGTACCTTGAAGAAATCCTGATTCGGGACGTACAATCCAAGCAGTCGTGGAAATTCATAGCCAGTCAGTGGTTTGCTCTTGAGCTCGGAGATGGGCGCATCGAGCGAGTAATCGACCAGACCTCAAATCATTTGGATTTTGGCAATGAAGTTGCAAGACGTTGGCGAAGAGGACTCGCGGAGTGGCATATTTGGATTTCAGTAGCAGCCAAGCTGAGAAAAAGCCGCTTTACAAGAGTACAGCGGCTTTCTTGCTGCCTCTCAGTGCTTTTGACATCTATGTTTGCTAACGCGATGTTCTACAAGTTAGAGGGCAAATATGCACAGCCTATCCAATTCGGACCGCTGAAAATGTCGTGGAGACAAGTGGTAACTGGAATTGAAAGCGCGCTTGTTGTGACACCCATGAACATTTTCATAGTGATTCTGTTTCAGAAAGGAGCTGAAAAGTCTGCGACGAACAATGACTGTTGTCTTAAAGGTACCCTGATCTCTGGTATCGCTTGGTGTTTGTTGTTTTTTTCTTGTACTGTTTCGGCTGCGTTTTCAATTTTCTACAGTCTAATTTGGGAAAAGAGTGTCAGTGAGCAGTGGCTGTCTTCGATGCTTATTTCATTCGCACAGGATGTAACAATCAAGGAACCAGTAAAGGTGTTCTTCACAGCTTTAACATTCGCGGCCATTTTAAAGAGAAAGGCGAAGAGATCAAAAGTACACGCCTGCGAAGGCCCTCAGCAAGTTAAAACTGGGTACTATAAGAAACATTTTTGGGCACTGAAATTATCAGAGGTGGAAGAGATGAGGAGACGACAAGCTAAGAAACAGAACCTGGCACGTTATATCACAGAGTTGGGTTTATACTTGGTCTTCGTTTTCTTGCTTATGGCAGTGTGCTATGGAAACAGAAATGACCATCGGTACTTGATGACTAAATCAATCCAGGATGGACTACCAAACTTTGGCAAGGTGAGTAAACATTATTTCATTATGATAAATCCATTGCTGAAATTCGCGTGTTTAATTTATCTTATGACTTTTCGTTCCCATGGAGATCCAAAATCAAATATACGAAGTAAAATTTTACTTTGCCGGCCTCTTCAAGAACTGACTAAGGTATTTTCTGCGTTTGTAATGGATATTTTGAGAAGGAATATCCCTTTAGAACAGGGTACAAGAGATATGTTAGTGCGCGAGACCCAAATTTAGGACTGGAAAGAAATTCCAAGCAATAGATGTATAATCCCATGAAGACATTGGCATTCAATTCTGCTATAGGAGAAGAGCCAGAAAGCGGCAAACATAATATTTGAGGGGATGGGTGCAATGAAAATAAGCAAGTGAGAATAATAGTCTAAGACACGCCCATAAATAGTAACTCGCTTGTGTGACTCAAACTTCTGCTCATCTATCCATACAGCTATACTTACAAAAAAATTTATATATATATATATATATATATATATATATAGGAAGTCTATATTCGGTTTTTCCGTATTACAGTGCTTGATACATGGAAGTACAGCGTGATATGAATTGAGCTAGGAAAAAAAAAAAGAGACCAAGGTTTTTCTCGACAAGCCTGTTTCGTGATTAGATCATTCTTCAGGGGATCTTAATGGAACGAATATTTGTAACCATCGAAGATATACTATAAAATTTGCATAATAAATGTGGCGGTAAATTTAGGTGCTTTGTTCAGCTGTTGCGCAGTAACGCTTTGTTTCTGTGAAGGTATGAAGACACGAGTTCATTACCCTTGTTAACTAATGACAATTCAATTAACAATTCATTTATATATATATATATATATATATATATATATATATATATATATATATATATATATGTATAGGAAGACAGCAAGTCGATTTTCGCGTGGAACAGTGCTCAATACGTTGAAGCAGAGCAGAATAAATATTATGAGAGGGAAAAAGGGACGCAACTACAATCCCCGACAAGCCTGTTTCGTGAATCGCTTCACTCTTCAGGGGTTTAAACCCCTGAAGAGTGAAGCGATTCACGAAACAGGCTTGTCGGGAAATGTAGTTGCGTCCCTTTTTCCCTCTCATAATATTTATATATATATATGTATATATATATATATATGTATGTATGTATATATATATATATTTATTTATTTATTTATTTATTTAACCCAATGATCTTGTACTAATTCAGGTGACAAACAATACAAGGTACTGGAGCTGGTTACAGCGTGTTTTCATCCCAGGTGTGTTTTCCGGCAGATGGTACAACGGTCAAAGGGATGAGAAAACAATTTTTATTGATAATAAACAATCTCTTCTCGTCGGAATGGCTCGAGTAAGGCAACTCAGAGTGAAAGCGAGTAAGTTTTTTTCCATTTTTATCCCTCTTTGCATTTCAGTGAAAGGCTATTTACCCACACACGTCATTTCACATATTATAGTTATACATATATAATTTTGCCTGATAGAGAAGCAATCGGTGCACAAACTTAATTGTAGAGTTAAACAATAGCTTATTGAAATTCTTAAAGAAAAAATATTGAACATGCGCTGGTTACAATTTTCTCGACTCCTGACCATTCTGACAATTATCTAGACGAGTGTTTAGGTAGCTGCGTTTTATTATGAACGTTGATTAAATTTAGGTTTTGATGACGGCGCTCCTTTCCTCCGAAAGCAAATGCTACTTTGAAGGCTTCTAATAATTCTCCATAACAAGATGTCCATATTTGTTAAAAGTACGAAATGTGTCATCCCTGAGTGAAATGAATACCAAAAGAAACTTCCTAATCATGATCTTTTGTTCCAACTTTCAGCGCAATGTAAAGTCCTAAACTATATGGAAACATCGTTCCAAGAATGTTTCAAAGGATACTCGACAAAGAACGAAGACAAGACCACCTACAACGAACCAGGCTGGAGGCCTGTCAACATTGCTACGAGGAATGACAAGTTATTACAACTTTGCCCGAAGCCATGGCGATATCAACATGCCGAGGAAACTGACACTACACCCAGGTGGGGACATTTCTCCTTTTATGATGGAGGAGGATTTGTAGCAGACCTCGGTTATGATAACCATACGGGGTTCAGCATAGTAACAAATTTACAAAACAACAGTTGGCTTGACAGGCAAACCAGAGTTGTCCTGGCAGAGTTTTCCACATTCAATCCGTCGGTCAACATTTTAAGTGTTGCCTCATACTTCTATGAAGTTCATGCATCTGGACTGAGAGCAGCCTCCATGCAAATTCGTGTTCTTTCACTTGATTCTACGGGCACACCCTTGCATCAGTTTTATTTGATTTGCTTGTTCCTGTACATTGTATTCGTTTTTCTGTATTTTGGAAGGGAAATTTTCAGACTTTACAGTCATCGTTCTCGATATTTCAGGTCTATCTGGAATTGGGTCGAGATATTTCAAATTGTTTTTTCTCTGATATCCGTGGTGATGTACATAATACGACAAAGTAAAACCATTTCAACCATGGGAAAACTGCATAAAAACATTTACGGAAATTTAAGTTTCCAAGAAGCTATCACTTGCCAAGAAGTGGAAAATGTGGTACTTGGAATTCTTACTTTCATCGTCACCACCAAGCTATTGCGAATCATTCGCTTCAACAACTATGTTGCTCTATTCTCCGCAACATTGAAGATATCTGCACGATCTTTGTTATCCTTTAGCATCGTTTTATCCATTTTCTTTGTGGCATTTTTGCACTTCGGTGTCTTAGTGTTTGGCTCTGTATCTGGGCGCTACTCTTCGGTGCTAAAAGGAGCCTATTTCCAACTCGAGCTAACTCTTGGTCGAGTGAAAGCTAGACCAATCGATGAATTAGCACAGGCCGACACCATATACGCCAAAATATTCGCCTTCTTAATTTTCTTCACTCTTACTATTCTCTGTATGAACTTCTTTATTGGCATAATCAACGATGCTCTTTTAGATGCTAAGAACTATGTGAGCGAAAGTGAGCTGTATGATCTTATCGATGAGAACCGTTGCTCGAGCTCAAAAGAAAGAAAAGAGTTTTTCGATGCAATCAGTATCAAGTTGAAACAGTCGAGAACCTCTAAAACGTCAGCAGAAGTGAAGGACAAAGAATCTGGAAACACTGGCCTTGACCCCACGAACAATTCCAATCTTAACTTTGATTTAATAAGTCAAGCTATCAAAGCTTGGAGGAAGAAAAGATCCAGAGAAACAATAGATAAACAGAAATGCAGTACAAGGAGACAAGCATTGTTCGACAGGATAAGCAACATGTTAAAACCTCTGAAAGGTGAAAGCAATGACGACTGCAGCAAACGTAGAGAAAAAAAGAAAGTAAGATTTCAAGAGGATGTCGTCGAGTCTTCCCTCCGTAAATTACGTAAGAGAGAACATGACCTGTTGCAGCGGCTGGAGAGTATTGTTTCAGGGTACATAGCAGAAGACAAAGAATTTGATTATTTATTATTAACAGGAGAGGCTCATATCTACTAGGTTGAGAGAGAGTAAAAAGAAAAAGTGAAAGTAAGTAAAATACGTCATCGAAATCAATGAAGAAAACAGATCTTTAAGCATAAATCATCTCGCACACACAAAGTAATAGCAGGAATTTCCCAGCGTTTCGTAGCATTGTGGCGAAAAGCAAAAAGAGGAAAAAAACTCAGAAAGTCATTTTTTTCAAATTTTTTTTCATAGCTGATCTCAGAGGAAGAACCTATATGCAACTTTTCTTTGGAGCTTATTGATTGTATATAAATATGGCTTGTGTTCAACGGCAAAAAAATATGAACTGCTTCATATCATTTAAAACAAAGTTACACTAAGGAAGTTAAGTATTGATATGTTATTTATTCCGCCTGTAATATTTTGCTGCGAAAAGATGGAACTATTTAGACGAGTATGTTCGAGAATCAATGATTTGAAAGACTTTAAAAATGATATTTGTATTGAAGACTTTCGGAATATTTGCTGCGAATACTATTTATCATTTTATTGATAAGTAACTAGTAACTTTACCTATCTTTTTTAATACATTTGATTTGTTTTAAATTTGATTTGACTTAAATTGTTGTTTTCAATGAATCCAAATTACTTATTTACTTACTTAGACAGTTTCTTTGTTCGGAGAAACTAGCACCACCATGCTACTCTGAAATTCGAATGGAAATAAAGTTATGTATATATGTATAGAGGATTGGAATTGTGCTGGTCTCGAGCGAAATCACTCGCTCTACTCCCTCCCATCTCACCCCCTCCCCTCCCTCCCTCGTGCTTGTTTAAGTTTCCATGAGAAAGACACTGGGAGAATGTTTTAATGGCAGGAAAGGTTTGATTTCGCGCATGTTACGATCTTTTATTTCTTTTTTTAATTTGGGTACGATGCAGATTGATTTGAACACGACTAACCACATAATCGTTTTGCGTTGACAAATTATGCAACGAATTTTATCTGAAATTTTCTGGTCCTTTGTGTTTTGTCGGTGACGCCCGACCCCCCCTCCCCTCCCTCCCGCGTTTCCCCTTTAACCATGGGATCCTGCGCTAATACCCTTCCCCCCTCCCAGGCGATAAGTAATGACTGATCCCGATAAAGAGCATTCCACAAGTCTTCGAAAACTTAATTGATTTCATTAATGTCAACAAAAGGGCTCAAACACTGTGAGCCGCCACCATGGCGAGACCCTTCACGTCCGTGATAAGCTAAATGGCGCTTCCTGGGGAAGTGATAGCTTCTCAGTCACATTTTCCCCAATTAGCCTTTGCTAGCACGTTCTTGGTTGTTAGGTACGCGTAAAACCAACTGAACCTTGTTTATCCGGCATGTTATTCCAGTTCTGATCATTTCGGCTGCACATTACTTTCAGTACAGAGTTGAATAATTTCACTAGTTCAAATACTTTCGCAAAGAAGAAGCTATAAAAGCGAAATAAAAATTAAAAAGGGTATTTCAACTTTCGGTGGCCTTGCATCGCGCAGAGTAATAGTCTTTCGCGGCATGTACTTACAGTGCCCAACTAACATCGAGCGGAATATCAGTTAGTATGTCTAGAGCTAGGCAGCTGTGACTGGTGAACAGAATTAGCTTTGGGAATACTTGAGTCACTTGCAGATTTCAGCTGCTGTCAATCAGACGGTTAGGTGCGTAAAGTAAATCCTAAGGTGTGATAAAGTTAACCATAGCGCACTAATTAAAGGCGGGCCGCATTGTTATTAAAACGTTTTGCCAATTCTCGTGAACAGCGATATTTTTATTTGACTCAATAGACGACTAACAAACTCCCGCCGGAGTGCGAGTGCGAAATGCGGCGGTAGGGGATATTAATAGCAGTGCTTAATCAGCGAGTTACCTGTTTTTGGCGCTAACTTACTCAGATGGCTAACTTACTTTTACGTGGGGCCCTGTGAAAGAGAAGAAACGGCGCAAAAAAATGGCTCAATCGTTTAGGATCATTCTGAGCAGTGCGGTGCCTGAGTCACTCGTTTTACTTCACGCATGCACTGCTGCATTCCTTCTTTTTGTTTTTTGTTTTTTTTTGATGGCTCAATAACTACATAGAAGTTAACCTTCTTTGCTTCCAAAAAGAAAAGGAGTACAAGAATAAAGGGGTGAATATGACTTTCCTATATAAAATATATTATTCATATATTCACAGTCGTTTAAGAACTAAGGGATTACAAAAACATCCAGAGAAAAACAAACAGTCAAGCGCCGGACTAAAACAGGTTTACGCCTGAGGGAACAGTTAGTTAATTATTCGTATTTGGATCCGTTTTGATTAAAAAAGGTATAGTTTTGTTCAATCCATTTAGTTTATGATAACTACTTTCGAATTAACATATCGAAGCGTGCAAGACATTATATGTTGTCGCATTCTTTGCGATGGAAAGCAAGCTCCAAGCTTGTTGATCTCTTGCGATATAGAAATTAATTGAAAAGGACTATATCATTCGGATGAACATTTATCAAAGGACTTCACATATCCTTTCCGTTTAACACTTAACGGAGCTTTGTCGACGTAAGATATGTTGTAACTAATACGACCTTTTTCAACGCTGGAATAAAATAAAAGCAAGGAAGGGGAGGAAAGTTGCACCGCTGATTTGTATATCGGGATCTTGAAGATATAACTCGCGCAGGATCACCTAGTCCTGTTAAAGGTATCCTCTCCTCCCGTGTTGGAATATGTTGCGATCAAAATTTCCTGTTTTGGACAGAATGTAATTTAATATCTAACATCAGCTTAAATTCTAATTTTTTGTTGAGCCACGCGCAACATAATATTTCTAAGGCCGTCATTCGGAAAAAGACGTTGCTTACTAAGCGCTCTTTTCTAATGAATTTAGTTTCCAGCACATTTGCATGTAGCCGGGAAATAGGTAGGGCTTTCAAACTGCGAAGATATAAACTACGTCATTACACAATGTGCACTAACGAAGAAGTTTTGTGATAAGAGAAAGGAACTGATGCAGATTTAGGGCTCAACTATTTCCCGCTAACCGCCCTGATGATCAACTTAAAAAAAATCGACTCACATCGAACAAGTGATCTGATCAAACGGATAAGTTAGGTGTTTTTGACATGTGGAATTGTGGTTCATTTGCATTCTTCACCTGCACGAATATATTACTGAATCATTCCCGCCGGCGAAGTCAATATTATACGGGTCTAAATTTTCAATTAAAACACGCACTTTTATCTATTGATGGATCGATGACGGTTGTCTCTGCAGGGGTGTACGCCGATGAACAGATAGTATATTTGTACTAGTTTTCAATGGACATAACATTTATTTCCAAATAGCAACTACTTATAAAAGTGGATCCTGATTAGTTATTTAAAACTTTTTTAATCACCCATTTTCATCTTCACGTTAACAGAACTTGATGAAGTTATTTTTGTGTTGTGAATTACTTGTATTTTTTATTTTTTCAATGAAACAGCATTCTGCATCTGGTGCAAAGAGCTTTTAGTCTCATTGGTCCGTCCGAGTGGAAAAAATAGATCTTTCGCGGCTCGTGTCAGCAAAAAGCGGTCAAATGTGATGTTTATTACATTCACGTCCTACAAAATAGTTTGAAAAACGTCTGAAATCTGCCGCTCTTGTGATTTTATTAAGTCACGGACCATTATAAGGGTGTAGACATAAACTAACAGCAACTTCTGATTCAGGAAGTCGATGAGTGGTGCGATGCGTGGGATTCAAACCAGCAAAATGTCCACAACCCTGTCTTTACGTTGTGCGCTGAGTAAGTACAAGCTTTACTAATATTATTCTCTTGGTTGTGCTTTAGAAATAGGGAAGATAAAGAATTAAAAAATTAATGATGGGATATCAATATGTCGGTATTGGGGCATCCTGTTACCCTCGGCCGCTTCAAACCAGAGAGACGCAAGTCAAGTGGCAAGTATTCATTTCTCTTATAACAAAACAATAGGACTTGACAACGTCTGCTCTTGAGTTTTATCATATAAAACAACTGGCTAAATGCTGAGTTTGAAACTTTTTACATAGTTTTTGCACCGTTCACTATATCTTCTGGTCATTCCATGGAAATGTTAAGTAAATAGTGACTGGTTAGATATAAATATTTCGGTATTGGAACATCCTGTAACCCCAAGCGAAATCCAACCGAAACTTTGGTAACACGTGTTCTTAAGTTTTATAATACTTGAAAGTAATAAAGGTAATGAAAATGAAAATATAGATTAAAAAAGGAAGAGAGATGTTTTAACTTGTTTACAAGTGTGGTTTTTAGTTTTGTTCAGACGCAAAATGATTTGGATACAATTGACCACGATAAAACAGTTTTCCGGTTTTAAAATTGAACTGGTAGTTATAATTCACGATTGTTGTGCTTAATTGATGTTTAATAAAAAACCTGTCAGAAATATAAAGAAGTGTTGCAGGAACATAATAGCATAGTTGCCTACCTTCAATTCTGAAGTTGGTGTGACAAGATGTCACCCGAGAAATACACAAAAACCATGTACGATCTCTTTCGCGAAAAAGCGAATTAAATTCGTCGACTAAAACTTATTCTGACGTTTTCCTTGAGCAATCTTGCATGTATAGAAATGGGAGCTGCATTTGAGCTTATTTTATGAACACGCTACATAGAAAACAATAACTGTGGTAAACAGAAGGCAAGTTTGGACAAAGTTTTTTAAAATGAATGCCGTCAGCGACAGTTCAGCTTTTGACGGGTCTACCTTTTATGTCCCTTTTAATTAACTACCTGCTTGCTCGAAATTTTTATCGGCTTCAGTTGTACGATGTTATTTTCTAAACGGAAGCAAAAACCCCGCAGACAGTTAATTAATAAATTCCACTCCAGTTAGAAAAAGAGAAAATGAAACATAGTACCGTCTTCATGCTTTTCATCGATCTCATGATAAATTTGGCATTAAACATCGGTGTCAAAAGTTTTTTTTTTTTTCAAAGAATTCGGTACGCATAGTTTCAATTTTATAAATCTAGATAAAGATTCATTCAGTTTCATTCAGTTACACAGTTCCTCGTCGTTTAATTCATTGTTGCAAAATATACCTTTTTATAACTCCACTACTGCGCCACTTGCCGTATTTGGGCAATGAACATGCACAATTTCCCACAGTATTGCGTTATACAACGGCACAAAAATGCGGACGGAAAGCGGAACAACAAAAAGGTTGCACCCAACAAACCGGAATTAACGCTGTTGTTGGTTTTTTTTTTTTTCGTTTTTTCTTTTTTTCAAGTAGCAAGTCTCTGAGCACACCAGACTTTTTTCTGATGGTCATAAAGAACACTTTAATGGTTTCTCAACGGCACTCCCTTGACTTGGAATAATACCGTGTGACTTGCAAAACTTCCTCATCGAGTAGAGTGCATTTATTTAAAGTTATCTATTCCGAGAAGTGACAATTTTGAACTTTTTTTATTTAAATTAAATGTCTAATCCATATGTTTGACCTCCCGATAAAGAGAATGACGGAATTATCTTCAACTGTCAGTGGAAGTTAGGTAAATTCATGGAAAACAAGGCTATGAGACGCTAGTATTTGCTTTGCTCCAAGCATGTGAGGTCTTTGCCCAATGCAATCAGCGCCCATCCCGGTTAAATCGAGGCACAGTTACAAACCGAGTCTTTTTCATTTTTCACCGCAATTTTCTTTCATTTTCATATTAGTTTTGAGCTTCAAGTAAACAAAATCAAAGGAAAGAGATATATGACAGATTGAACCTGTTTTGCGTATTATTCTTCAAATAATACTTTTTGCAGCACGCCACCGCTATCAACATCTTTAGTCGTAAACGTTTTTTTTCTGTTTGCTGGTAATGCTCAACTCCATGAAAAACAGAGATTGTTTTCTTTTTTTTTTTTCTTTTTTTGTCATGCCTTGAATAAGCAGAACAACATTATGAACAACTGGGAAATTTCACCTGATACTTTTCGGTATTCGTTATTCACCTCCTTTGCCTTTACATAATACTTTCCAAGTTACGTCTGCGAGTAACGCCAACCAAACGAATCCCTTTGACATGTTTTCGAGATGCAACAAGTTTTTTTCAGCCGGTTGCGGAGACACTGCATTTTTTTTTCTTTCAATTTCTTTAACAATTAAAATTCTTTAGTACCAGTATATCTTGAAATCTAAAAAACTCTTTGGTCGTTTCAAAAATTATTTTCGACATAACAATAAAATACTTTGCCCATTTTCTCTTCCACAGTCATCCTTCATTTGATGATGGAATTGCCAGGAACAGGTGAGGCAGTGTAATTACAATTTAATATTTAAGTGTCTTAAAATGAACTGAAAAAAAATTATCTGACTCAATTATCTAAATAATTAGTCAGACTTCCTGCTGGAATGACATCGTTTTGCGATTAAAAACTTTAGTTGGAAAGCAAAACAAAAAAGTCAGAGACTAACGGTGCTATTACACTGATTCCCCAATTTCCACTTTTAAAACCTTGTCTAATTCTAATTTTTCCTTCGGTGAGGTAGAGGGTTTTGATGCCCATTGTTTTTTATCATTAATGGTATTTTTTTTTCTCTTCTCCATCTTTATCGTTATTACTATTGTTATCATCAGTATACATTTTTTCGTTTATTTATTTATTCCTTTGTCTCCATCATCAGAATTATAACTATTGTTACAATCAGTATACATTTTTTTTCGTTTATTTATTCCTTTAATTTTTTCCCGTAGAGTGCCAAGCAACCTGTTTCAAAAACTCATCCTACATCTTTTCGAAAAGCGGAAGATATTGGGCTGACAACGTGCGTGTCTGTCGCTACCAGGGAGGTGATTTAGTCTCCATCGAAACTGAAGAAGAATGGCAGTTTATCAGTCATGAGATTCAAAAGCGTGGTACTTCGAATACTAGTGCGTGGCACATTGGTTTATGGAAGAGAAGCGGAAATTGGACATGGTTGAGTGGAGCAAAACTAAGTATTTCGAAATGGCGAGATTCTCAGCCAGATGGTAACGAAAATTACGCGGAAATATCTAAGAATGGAGGCCTCTTTAATGGTATCTCTTGGGTTGATGAAAACGCCTTCATTTGCGAGATGTCCGGAGGTAAGATCACATTCCAACCATGAAGTATATTATGTTCTGAAACATTAGCAGTCTTGCACTTGTGTCAGGAAAATTTCTATTGCTTCTTAAAAGTAAAAATGTTGTTCACATAATATGCTCGGCTCACCTAACTTGTACGTGTGAGCGACAAATCAACTTTTAAGCGTGTATCAGTAGTTGAACATAATGGCCATGACAAAAACGGGGACATATGTTTCGAAAAAAAAATGATCACCCTGGGATTTTCCCTTTTTTGCATCGCCTGCAGCTGGAAAAACAGCGATGGAAACTGTACATTTCACAACTTTTGTCGAGCGCGCTGAGATTGGGATAATCTAACCAACGGACAAGTTACAAGGCGTGATCACTGACGTCAGTGAGTGAATCCGTGTTCTCTTGAACATAACGCATCGAAGTACGTATGCCCAAGGTCTTGAGTACCGGTACTGAAGACAGAGTGCACAGTTTTTCCCGACCTTAGCTTATGAATAACAGTTTTTTTTCTTTTAAACTCAACGAAATATTTTCCAAAAGAACCCTAATGATTTAGGGCTGTAATTATGGCAAGATCCTCCATGAACTGAACAATTTTTGAACGAGTAAATGGTAGTTGAAACAGACTGAGGTAATGCAAATTAAATAGAGGCTTTACCGAAATATTTTTATTTGTGTAAAGGAAAAGGTGATTTAAAATGCTTCCAAACAAACTTTGAAACTTTTTTTTTTAACAAGTATCTGTCACAACCTGACACCTGTAAAGTAGAGAGCGTGTAAGAAACAAAAGTGCATGCACGTTTTAAAAAAAGACAACATCAACGGCTCTGGTTTGGCAAACAAACTTAAGTTCAATGTCTGTCACGGGAATTTTTTCTTTAAAAACAGTCAATGGTCTTACAGAAAGCATTACTCACTTCCATCAACTATTGATGAACGAAGTATAGCTCTGTTCAGTCGGTAAATGGAAAGTAATTGTAAGTAAATTTAAATCTGTTTCGAGATTGAGGGAGTTTGCTCGTTTACTTGGTGCAATCGCGTCTGTAAATCTGGTCTTTTGTTAAAAGTAGAATTTTAATGCCGCTTTTTCTCGTTGAATTCCTTCATTTTCTGCTGTGAAGTTTACGGTACAAATGTCCATATTGAGGGGACTTGCAAAGACTTACCGAAAGCGTATTTAAAGTATAGAACTGAAGATATCACTCACTGTTTTTTAATGAACAAATTGTTTGAACGATTTCAGATATAAAATGAATGAAAACCCCATCAATTAGTTCAATTTTAAACAAATACGTTACGTTCTAACTTCCTGAGTTACTTCTAGTGAAGGGCTAGGTTAATTACAAACGGTTTTTATGCCGCGTGTCAACCCATTTAATGGCATATTTGCGACCAAAAATCATTTCAAAACCATTATTTTTGCTGGCAGCCACAGTGACTTGAGAAAGAGAAGGAGAGGATTAATAAATAATGAATCAGCTTGATTTGCTTTAAAGTGATTTACGTAAAAATACTTCTCAGCTGGCAAAGCGAAATATATTTATGAAAAAAGGCAACGAAGCTAAGGTTGTAACTAGCGACTCGAGCAAGCGTTGCCGTGCCGCTGAGCAGAGATAAGAAAATCCGGACCGCATTAAGAACCACAAAGATTGCAGGACTCGTTACCGTGCCCTCTTAGAAAAACAAATAATAAATACAGCTCTTTTGGGAGAAGTTTTCGGGAAAAAGCGTGTCAGAAGTGCAGCGATAACCTTGACAGGTATTGTGGGTGGCTTTCAGGTCATGGTCAGACGACCTCAGGATTTCAGGGAAATCTGAGAAAATGTCATTTTAAGGACGAGTCATCACGAGTTTGAACCTGTTTTTAATACGACTAACTTGAAATTCCAAACTGCATGAAAAATGGAAAAAAAAGTACAAGCAAAATCTTATTAACTTATCTTTACTTACTTTACATGTCAATGTTGATTACCGCCACCTAGATAATATTTTGAGTTTGTCGCATGTACTTTAAATTGTTGTTTTTGTTTTTCTCCACAACCTTTCCCATAACAACTGTATGCAGTGAACTGCGTATCTCCAGTTACACATTTATAAGAACTTACATTCTCATTTAATTTTACGTTTTTTAAGTCTGTTCAGATGGGGGAGGAAGAATAGGGGGCGGGGTGAGGGTGGTGTCAGCTCAACAAGGAAATAATTAATTTTCAAATCTCGACTACCAAAATTACATGAACTCACAGATAATCTTAGCTGATGTGAAGTTAACTAATTCAGAAAAGCAGGTTAGAGATGGCGGACGCCGTAAGGAAGAAAGATGTATAGTATTAATTGACAATGATCAAACATAAACTGGAGGTGTTAAAAAATAGGAATTATATGAAATATAAGTCCCGTTTTCTTTCTCATTTATTTTTCTCCTTTATTGTGATTGTGATTTTAATCTTTTTATGTCATCATCATTATTATTATTTATCACTTTGATTATCCTTATGATAATTAGTATTTTTTGCTTTTATTTTCATCATTTTGTAGAATGCCTAAATATAACTTTTAGAAACTCTTGGTATATAATTTCGGTGCGCAAAACCAGGTCCTGGCTCTGGAACAGAAAAACCTGCCAAAGCCAAGGAGGGGACTTAGTTTCCATTGAAACCGAAGAAGAATGGAATTTCATCAATGACCAGATTCAAAGGCGAGATACTGCGTCCTATGAAAATAATTGGAGTATTGGTTTAACAAAAAGGGCCGGGAATTGGACTTGGGTGAATGGAAGACCGCTGACTATTTGCAAATGGGAACAAGGGGAGCCAAGAGGTGAACACGACGCGGCTTTCATGTACAAGCGGTCCAGTAATGGGGAGCAGGGCGTGTTTGGTGGTGTTAATGTCACAAGTATAGGATATCGCCACACTTATATTTGTGAGATTTCCGAGGGTAAGTTGTCATTTTTGTTGTTGTTTGTTTTGTTTTTTCTGTTTGTTTGCTTTCTTTAATATTATTTTGAGGAAACTAACGGCAGCAGAAGCGCTTAGGCATCATAAAAACATTATTTGATATCGTTTGTGGAACTTATGAAAGGATTTACATAAACCCTCTGACAGTCAGAATCAAGTTTACACTAACATTTGAATGAATGAAAATATGTTTGAAACGATATCAATTAACGTTTTCACGATACATATGTCTAACTTTTGGCTTTGTGAGCAGAGGAAAATTACAGATGGTTCTGTTACCAGTAATAACAGTAAACTTTCAATTATCAGTTATTTTCATATAGTTAATTTATTGTTTCGATTGAACAAAATGATGGTGAATACCAATTGCGAAGAAATATCAGTCCAATTGCTTTTTTAGATAACAACGTGTGATGACGTGAAGTGCGTTATCTTTTGCAAAGAGCCATGCCAGGGACTCATGTCTGTTGAGATACATGCCAATTATCGTTTTATAAAACGAACACAAAAGACTTGCAAATTTATTTTTTCTTCGCATAGCGGAATCAGTTCTGTGTTTATTCTATTTTATTTTAATATCCGCTTGTTTGAACTATAAAGTTGTAGGTTCTAATTTCGATGCAATGCAAAATGTGCAGTGAACATAAAAAACTAATTAGAATATGGCGGACATTTCTGTCGACCTAGAAACCATTACTCTATAGCGAGGTTAGTACGGGTTACCTTAGCTCTCGTATGTCACCAGAGTGCGTATATACATTTTCTTGTTTAAAAAATGGTCAAGGCCGAATTCGAATTTTATTGATGTCCCGCTTACCAAAAAGATAAACATAGGAATGCTTAGCATGCAAGACTTATTATTTTGGCTGGGAGGGTTGTGATGGGACTCTGCGTTCTTAACGGTTTCAGTTTTGTAACAGAAAAAGAGCATAACTTTTAAAATAACGAAAATATCGCATTACTTCTCCTTAACAGAAAGGAAAAAAAAAACCTAATTTATCTGACCTCACACAGGTTTTTGTGGTCTGTTGTCTCTACTGTATAAAAAAACTTTTGCGCGAAAATAAAATGCATCGGTACCAAGCTTACCTTTGGGTCCTTCGGAGCTGTTGTTTGGTCTCGCTCTAATCCCAGTTCGAGAGCGAGCGCGTTGCGGGACGTGACCAAATAACTGTTGTAAAACAGACTACCCTTACTGGCGTTCCTCTGACAGAGAGGAAATTTACATTATTCGTCTACAGTTAGCTTCCTCAAAAATATAATCCCACGCAATTTTACTACAAAAGGCTTAATGAAACTCTATCGCATCTCCAATATACCAACGATATATCGGGATCTCGAATAAGTGAAGATAAATTGAACAAGAGAAAATGATTATAGTATTTCAGAGAGGGCTCCTTGATTGTTTGTTGCCTGTCTGGCCTGATAACACTGGCCCTCGCCCTCGCCCTCGCCCTCGCCCTCGCCCTCGCCCTCGCCCTCGCCCTCGCCCTCGCCCTCGCCCTCGCCTTCCTCGCGAGGGAAATTGCATCTAGCTATTACGTACGTAAAAGACAACTGGAGGAGGTTATGCACATGCGCGGTTGCGTGCCTGACTTGGAGACCTCAATCGGGCGCGCCAAGAAGCTTAGATACAGAGTGATAAAGTACGCATTTACCAGAGTTCGTGCAGCGTACCGCGGGCACCTGGTTACTGATTACAGAGGGCTTCACGTGGGCTAGCAGAGTTTAAGCAGCGCAATCAAAGGAATTTGGCGTTTTGAGCGGAAAGTCATACTGATCAGTTCGTAGTTGAAAGCTTCATCAATTCTCGGTAATTACACTGCAAGAGAAACGCTAAAGACGACATGAAAAGACTGATTTGAAACTGCGAATATCTATCGAAGAGCGACGTGAGAAGGAAAGACAAAGAGCTCCGGAAAAAAAAAAAAGACTGAAAAGAGGTCAACAACAAAGAAAAAGCAAACTACAGAGGAGCCGAGAAAGGAGAGCCAGGAGGTAAGTTGATGCTTATCTAGTTTTCTCCTGCGCTAAGTCCCAAAACAATTTTAACAATCGTTAAACAATTCATTACGGTTTTACAACAGTGACGTATTCAAGCAATACTCTACATATTCAAAACTGTTTACATAATGTCTCATAATTGTACACATTCTATTTGCCCCTCACACTTCTTGGCATCGGTATTTTAGAGCGATTTTTTTTCAAGGCCGCGTGAAGGGTAGCACATCGACCGAAAAATGACTAACCTCAAAGTTAAGTCAGAGATTCTGTATAGTGAACTTAGAAACGTGGTAAAGTTTCTCGCCCAGATTTGCTTCTTTATTTTGGAAAATTTGCGAAAACTGAAACGAGGGTCGGTAGCCTTAACTTGGCGGAAAGTAATGCCCCGAGTTGAGACAAATGAACTTTGCTCGTGAAAAGTGCAAAAGAAAGCAAGCTCTCCTCAATTTGAAGGATTGACGAATGTTTTAAGTTTAAAACGGGACCATTTCATTAAATTTGAAGCTCGCGGAACGCTATTGGAAATCACCAATATTTCAAAATACAAATATCGCATTTCCTATCAATTTTCAAATTAATACTTTCCCTGTGTGGTATACCTCAGTATCGGCTCAGATTAAGCTCGTAATAAGTGGAATAAGAATTGTTTTCGAGGATATAAAAATTAGTTTAGGGCTTTGCATTTCCGCACGGAAAGAGCAGGCTAAACTTTTTAAAAATCGCAACATCGTCTTTACGTCACGACGGACATTCTCTAACTAAGCACGCCATTATTAAATCCAAAACTCTTAGCAAATTTTAGCAGTAAGCAACGTGCTCGATCAGTAAAATCAATACAATAAGCTACCCTAACGACGACAGACTGGCTTTTTATAACTTCTTTCGTTTCAAATTGTCATTTATTTCCCATGGCGAAATTGTCTGCAATAACATATTTTGTAAAGTAGCAGCAGGCGTCTGTTTCTCTTTCCATGTTCGAATAGTTTTGAGAAAGAAAGAACGATTCAATCATTTACAGAAGTAAGTCAACAGTTCTTTTCCAAACTTTGAAGAAGGACAGCAATCTGAAATTAGTGTAGATGTAACACACTCAAACACTCAAGGGTTCTTCACGCAAGGCTGAATGTATTGCAATCTTACGGCCACAAATAATCGTCAATAACTCAAAGTTTTTTCAAAATTTCGACTGTAAAATTAGGAAATTCTAAAGTTAAACTTTATCATCCGAAAGAATAAAAAAATCAGAGAATACTGGAGGGAAACTTCAATTGTGCAAGCTAATTTCCTCCATTGCCTTTCCTATTTTTGATCAAATAAACTTCAATCAGTTGGAAAGGGTTTCCTTGAGTTGTATTGTAAATTGCAATGTAAATTACCGAGATAGACTTCTTCTCAAATGGTCAGCTTGTAAAATATTGCTTCTCAAATTTTACCCACTTATAGATACTAAAAATATATGGTTGCAAGAAAAAGCACACAGCACCAAATCAAAGGGCTCTTGGAGCCAGCTCATTCATTTGCATTGATTTCTTGGACTTGCTGAATATAGGTACAGTTAAATTCGCTTTATATGAACTTTCAAGACTTTTGGATTAAATTTTATTTTATTTTTGCGCAATTGTGTGTTAAGAAAACTTGTGCATTCGTCGTGATGGGAATTGGAAAAAAGGTTTTGTTGGCTGGAGGTGGGATGGGCAGAGGTAATTAGGCAGGCAGTGTCCTTTTTGTTGGTGTGTGTGTGTTTGTGGGGTGGTTCCTCATATAAGCCAATAACAATATAAGGCACATATGCGCAAATCAGTGTGTGTATACCCCTGAACGTTGAGGACCAAGAAAAAGTATACATTCTCAGTCTGCATTTTGTACCCAGTCTGCAGTCTGCATTTTGTACCTAGTCTGCATTTCGTACCCGGTCTGCAGTTTGCAGTCTGCATTTTGTACCGACCGGATTTGTATTGCTGTTTTTTGTTCGAGCGAGCCTCAAGTCCGGACCGAAATATCGGGGCTCGAAAAATTATTTTAGTGAGACTATCTTGGCCGCTATGATTGATGTGTGGACTGTATGTTGAAGAACTCCCAAGGACAAGCACAATCATGGAGCAATGATTACTTTATACCAACTGAAGACGAACGCTTCCGCGGCTTAACAATATGGCTGCCTCTGATTCCCTTCTGCGTGATCACAGCGTGTTGAAATGAGCTCGCTACAGGTCCCCTAGGTGTGGAAATTTTGGCTTCTCAATTCAAGTTGCAGTTTTAGAAATTCAGAACTGTAATTTTTGGTTATTATCTTTATCAAACCCTACAAATATTTTTTTTTTCCGCGTGAGTTTCTGAGCTTCACCGAAATTAATTTAGATTTTTACTAAGTGGGTAGGTGTAGGATGCGAGACTATTTCTGTTGACAGTCTGCAGTGCAACTTCCGTTCACGGAATTCAACTTCCGTCCACGGAATAGAACTTCCCTCCACGGTCGAGGACTTCCGTCAACATCTGCTTTACCTCAATATCTCATTCATTGCTTTCAGCATGAATGAGCTAAAAAATCAAACTGGAGTGACTATACCTGTACATGAAGATCATAAAATTTTGAAACATTTGTTTTTATTGGTGATTGACTTGTGATATTTTTGAAGTTTTTCCTACTCATCTGCAGGTTAATTAGATTTTGGATTTTACTTTCAATTAACGATTGGTTCTTACGTCAGCGTGCGTTCATCGATGAAGCACGCGGGAAGTTTAGAGAGCACGAAAGATGCGTAAGAGTTGCTCGACGTTTAGCCGTGAGCAACTCCAGCTTTTTGAGTGCTCTCCAAACTTTCTGCGTGCTTCATCGATGAACGCACAACTGACGTATGAACCAATTGTTTTATAACATTTTCAACCAGATGGAAAAATTTTTTTTCTCGAGGGATTTGTTTGCTGACGTCATGAGCGTGCACAATAGGAATACGAAGCACGCTCGCGCAATTGAATTTGATTAGACAAATATACTAGCTATGTTATAAACTTGGTTAGATTTATTCATTGATGCTGTTTCATAATGGCTTGTTTGCATGAAATGGTAACTGTAGTTTCGATTAAGAGATGTTTTTGAGGCAACATCAAGGATGAATTATCTTTTAAAATGGAATACTTCAGTAACTCTCTTCATTTCTCTTCGATGCAACATCATTTAGTATTTCTGGAGGACAATTAAAGGAAGCGGGTCGTAAAAAGTAATTATGTTTTATTCAGCTCAGTGTTTAATCATGAGAGTAACATTACATGTTTTCATATGCAACAGGATGGTCCAGCTGAAGATGGCCCGGGGAAAGAGTGAAATCTGCTGTTAGTAACAAGGATGACTTTTGGGGAAACTTGAGCACTTAATTGGTAAATAAGTCTTGGCTTGTACTTCTGATGGTAACAGTTTGCTGACAGAGGAAATTGAAATGTCAGTCCCTATACAGAAATGTACCTTCGTATGACCTGTACAAAGAGAACTGAACAGATGTATTTGTGCTTGGCACAACTACTATATGTATAATGGCACCCCCCCTCCCCCCTGAGAAAAACGTTAATGATTTTTTGTCAACACGAATGTATGAGAGAAGCTTTGGAGCTATTGTCCATGTTTTTGTTAGAATGCATAAGGTTCGATGATTGTAATGATTATTTTTCAGCTATCAAACTTTTAACTTTATATTAATCATAGCTGTAACTGCATGATCGCCGTACGTACTTCTTCAAAAGTTGTTGGAGCTGAGTCTGTAGCCTGTCATCCTTTGTTAAGAATTGTGCAATTATTTAATTTTGCAGTATTTACCACATTGTAATATGTAATTTGGATGGCAATAAATACTCAGGCTCAAGATTTAAATAATACACGGTGTTCTTGCAAATGCTGATACTCATTCAACAAAGGAAACTTTGATATAAGCAATTGTTCACAAGATAAGTGAGTTTAAAAAGAAGGGAATCTGGAAAACCAATAATCCCCCTTTAACCCTTTAATCCCCATGAGTGACCAAGAGAGAATTTCTCCTTAAAAAATCAATATCATATTAACTAGATAGATGATGAAAATAAAGAAAAAATTTCAACTTGGGAATAATTAGTTGATCCAATACTAAATTCTCTGAACTAACATTATAAGAATTGTATGGTTGACAATAAGGAAGATGACAAATTTGATCTGGGAGTTAAGGTGTTCATTAAGATTGAAATTAATGGCCACTCTCCTCTTTTCAGTCATGTTTTTACTTTGACCTGCCTCCTTCCTTTTAATGTTTAAGGGAACATAGATTATCTCTCTCACCTTAAGAGTGATTAGCATCCTATTTCTCCTTACAATATCACCCTGATACTAAAGTTTGACTCAAACTTTAAGGTCAATAGAATAAAGAAAATTGACCAACAGTTGAAGAAACTCTCGATTGCTTAACAAATTCCCCTATTCAGAAAATTAGGAAATGTACAGAGAACAGTATTGGAAATATACACAGTAATGTCAGGGTGTGAAAGAAATGCGTAACTATTTTTCATATTTTGACACATGGAAATTGAATTAATTGACATTCACATTTTGCAGAAGGCAAGAATATCAGTGCCTTAACTTGATAAGTTCATGACATGAAGTAAGACATGAAGTAAGAGAGTTGTGCCAACCACATCCCACTTTCTATCTTTCCCTATATATTTATGCACAAATAACAGTCATCAGAATTGTCTCATTCACTCTAATTATCCACTGAACCTAGGAAAAGATGATAACCTCCTTATTTGTTTGAAAGCTTGCTCTCTCTCTCTCTCTCTCTCTCTCTCTCTCTCTCTCAACCTATTCCTCTTAAATTCTCTGAAATTAAATCGGAGCTATGTTCTCACAACTTGCAATACAACCAGTTAAATTTGCTATTTTTAAAGCACTCTCAGAAGATTGGAACTTAATGGAGGACCCCTGGCTGTAATTCACTACCAATTCTCATTGTTATTTTCTTGCAAATCAAGTTGATTTTGCTCTTATAGGTGCAAAACCTGGATTAACCCTTGACACCCTAACATCTGTATGCATATGCTCCATGCTGTTCTCTATATGTTTCCTAAGTTGCTAACAAAAACTTGTTTAACAATCAAAAGCTTCTTTTATATAATTAGTTGGTGATCTTTTCCTATATTCTCCTTACCTTAATGTGTGACTCAGGGTTAATATTGCAGGGAGAAATTAGAGGCGAGTCACTCTTAGGGGTTTAAGGATTAATGTGTAACCCATATATGAAGGTTATCCTTCTAGGGCGGCTAACACTTATAAATCACAGTTCTTTATACATAATTTTTTAGGTATTACCCAAGTCTTTTCAAAACCTTTTAAGTTAATTTTTTTTCACAGTGAACCAGTGAAAGTCCTAACGGATGGTCAAATGAATACTTTTTCAGATCACTGAGTAAAATTTATTCTTGTGCTTCACGTTAACATGTTGCCACAACCCTAACTGATAGGCTGCAATCTAAAACTTTTCAACCTCTTTGGTAATAACCCGTATATGTCCAATATAACAAATCCGACTAGATTCTTCTACGGCAGTTGACGAATCCGCCCACCGTTAGTCGAATTAATTTCGTATTTCAATGGCTAGAGTTGCCAGGATCATGGACAGTTGGTTTAAAAATACTGACATATGCAATTACAGCAGAGGTATTTCCAGCTATAGGCCGACAATAATGAAACGCGAGTAGTCGAAAGAGTAGAATTTAAAAGAAAACAGGTTTAAAAACGAGTTGAAAGTGACTTTTCTCTGGAAACTTTTCTCTTCTTCTCTTTTCTCTCTTTTTCTCTTTTCTCATTTATTGAGGATGTGGTGAAAAGCATTGGTCAAAAGCTCTTTAGTGTCAACAATGTAACAGAACAATTGTAAACAGGGTTAAACGGACATCAACAGAGAAAATCGCATTTTTGCTAATTTTTTTTACAATTATTATTATTATTATTATTATTATTATTATTATTATCATTATTATTTGTATTTTTTATCATTATTTAGATGAGACGTCTAGCAAAAGAAAACTTGACCTTGTGGCGGTCATTTCCGGCGGCGCAGAGGTAACAAGAGGACTCCAGAAAAACATCACATTAAATGCCTCATTGTCATATGACCCGGAAGTTGCACATGGCAACCGATCAGGAATGAAATTCACCTGGCATTATGGCAAAGTCACAGGAAATCACTTCGGTAAACAAGCGGAGGCGAAGGCGGAGGAAGATTTCTTCACAGCAGTAAACCAGTCGACCATTTATTATAATGGAAATGCATCTGGCGAACTAGTTTCCTTAAACGACGAAGCTTTTTCTGTTAATGAGACCTATGTAGTTAAACTGGTAGTGACCAAGGATATTCGCATTTCCACCGTTTATCAAGTTATCCATTTGATAGAAGGAGACCCCCCAGAAATATATCAAAGGTTAGGGATTTACTTGGTTTTTTCTGTTGTTATTAAGTTTGCTTGGTTTGTTTTTACTGTTGTTTTTGTTGCCGTTGTTAATACCAATATTTGTTCTCGACCTTGGTCTTTATCTTTATTTAAGCTACTGTTGCTTTTGTTGTCCAATTCTACCTGTTTTGTTTCTAGTTTTGTTATCTTTTGTTGTTTCTGTTTCCTTTGTTCTATATACTTTGTTGTTGCTGTTAATGATAATGTTATTGTTTATATTGTCGTTTTGGTTATTAGTATTGTTGCAGCTACTTCATTAGCAGTTGTTCATATCAATGTTGAATTGCAGCCACTGCAACAGCTGTTCTTCTTAATTATATGATCTCATCAGACAACGGAAGTTCAAAACCCCTTCTTCATTGACTGTTTGTATAATCTTTTTGCTTCATTTTAGATGTTTCTTTAACTGTCAACTTAAAGTGAGTCCCTTAGTCAAACTTAGTATCAAGTCACAATGCCGCGGATTACAGTGCTCTAAAATATCATCCTATGAGTGGAGGCTCTACCAGCAGTTCAAGCGAAACACCTCCTTTACTTGGCAAAGAAAACATAATTTACGACTCGTCACAAGTACACCGCTGAATTCAAGTGACATTGTTATCAAAGGAGGTTCCCTTACTGGTGGAAATAAGTACCGCTTGGCACTATTCATAACAATTACGGACGTTTTAAGGAGAATGAATGCTTACGATTATTCTATAGCAATACCTCCAACAGGGGGCAACTGCTCGATCTCTCCGCCAAGCGGCATCTCACTGAAGACTGATTTCAATCTGAGCTGTAGCAACTGGGAAAGTGACAACACCCCTCTGTCCTACCTGTTTCAGTACAGGCTAGAGAATGGTCTGTACAATGTATTATATCGTGGCGTTAACAACAACATAAGTACCTCTTGGATACCGCCTGGGAACAATACAGATAATTTTACTGTCAAAGTTATCGCTATTGTGACTGACAATTTCGGAATTTCTACTTCCCCAATCTCTTTGACAGTTCAGGTAAGTCGCTAACCATTAATTTAATGTCTAGCATGAAAGGATGTGAGAATATGTTAATTTCTTTTGGTCCCTATTAGTAATAAATTAGTTACAGTTATAGATACCTGCTTTTGACTTTTTCAGATCAAGCCATCTCAGAACACAAACCTTCTAATGGCAAAGAACAGTACATTTCAGAAATTAATCGAGATCGGAAACCTGACAGAAGCAGCGCTAATAGCAAACTCTTTCCTGCTATCAGTTTTACAAGAAACCTCAATGGGTTTTCAGGAGAGATACAAGGTACATTTAAAACGTAACTTGTTACTTAAAAAGTGAAACAAAACTAGTTCATTATGATCGTACCCGAAAAGTAAAGAGTTTACCGAGAGCCAAACATGCAAAAAAAAAAAAAGAAGATAATAAAGAATTTGTATTAAAATATATAATAATAATGATAATAATAATAATAAATCAACTTTCGAAGGACAGACAAATATAATAGATGTATGAACATATTTTTGAGAAAAATGGAGGCTTGTGTGTTAAATATCGTTGCTACGCGAGAGTCGTGGCTACCACGTTAGATATTCACTCTCCATTATTCTCGCGGGTTGATTGTGTGAGCAAACAATTCCGTCTTCCGTTGTGACGAGTAAAAAACGCTCTAGAGCCTTGGATTAAATCTCAAACGAAGACTTACAACGTCTTGAAAATGAGGCTTCAAATTTTATTTCAAGGGCGGAAATCACCGGACAATCCATTATTTCAGGTTGGACATTTTTGGTGTTTTGATGCATGCGAATCAATCATGCGCTTGCAAATTTATCATTTTGATGGGTTTTAACTAGTAATATCATTGGGGAACCTGATACGTTGAGTCTAAGTATGCCTTTAGATGTATCATCTTTGGAACGAGCCTAATATGAGAGACACAGTCTGTTTGCCTATTTCTCTACTGGCTTAAATAACATTAAGCTTTATCGTTGTTCAAGGTTATGAACTACATCCTTGAAAACATTTCGCCCTTGGAAGCAAAAACAGTCTCAGACCTCCTCCAAAAATCTTCGGTTATCGGTTCTGCTCTTCAGGCTCTGGAGGAAGTGCCCCACCAGTCTCTGGTAAGTGAAGTACTGATTGGGGCTGGAAGAGCCTTGGTTGTTACGCCAAGTTTTTATACCATGATACTATTTAGCAGGAAAGGCTACAGAAACAACAGCAAAGGAGACAAAAACGGAAACAAACAAGCAACTATTGTGTTATCAATTCAAGCAATCTATAATTTTGTACTTACTTTAAATAATTCGCCACAAATTATTTCTACAAAGGTCAATGGAAAGAAATCTGAAATTAAGCATATGTAGCTTCATTTATATTCATTTGCACTCCACAGAATTTCTCCTTATCTGCTATCAGTTCAGTGACGTCACTCCTATGGTCTATCGCCCAGAAACGAGACGTAGCAGACATATCACTGACAAGGCAATCGGCAGAAAACTTGGCTTCATGTCTTAATACCGTGTTGAAGGCAGCAGCAGTGACTGCATCAGAAGACTCCAAGTCAAGTTTTCAACAACAGGTACTTTAACGTACATTTAGGTGAAGTCCAAGAGTCTACGAATTAAACAGACCCTTAAAAACGTAATTATACATGCAAGCATAATCATTAGACTTTATTCATTGGCAAATGGTCCATTGCAAATTGCAGTTAACTTAACCGTTACTCCCTTCTTCATTCAGACTTTGAACCTTTTATGGTTTGTTTGTATGTATGTTTGCTTTAAGCTTTCGAAAATCCATAATTTGCTTATAATTTATTATATGTTTATTTATGCTATTTCTACAGGGTGAACTATTAGTGAAGATTTCAATGAAGGCCCTCGAGAAAGTTGCAGACTCATTGTTGGCATTGACATTACCTGATGAAAAAACGATACCATTCACTGCAGGACAGCTATCCATGACACTCGGAAGATGTAGCCTCCAAAGACTTTCAGGATTGGAAGTAAGAGCAGGAAAAGGTCGGTTTATCTTACCGTCCAAGAGCCAATTGTTACTCGCTGGAGTAAACAAAACAAGCTTTGTAGATGTTCAGGTAAGTATTCCTGTCCTTCAGGCAAATTTCAATCCAAGTTTTTTTCAGCAGATACCGACACCAGTCAAGTTAAAATCACACATTAGACACCTTACAGGTTGCTTATTACCACCAGCAATCATATTTCTTGCTTTGCCTTTGACGTGTTCAACTCTGGCACTTGGGCAGGAAAAGAGAATCGAATCATGTGACCGAAGTGACCACATGAATGTTATATATTCTTCGTTGTTTTCTAAATATAATTTCAGTTTTATTTGAGCCCAGTTTATGATAACTTCTGATTAAGAGTAAGACGGAGTACCCTGTTTACGTGTTCAATTATAGCAGTCCACAAAAACAAACAAGCAAATTTCTTAATTATTTCTCTTTTAGATGCTCTCATTTTCTTTCAACCCTTACACTTGGGACGGCACCAAGGAACGAGTTGGCTCTGATGTTGTAACCCTGCAGTTGAAAAACAACAACAGCGAGCTTATTAAAGTATCAAATCTCACGGAAGACATTGTTATCGTTACGCCTTTAAAACTTCAGAAAATCTCTGCTTCAGAAAAGTCATGGTATTTCACAAAGAACAATGATCTACGTTTCCACGAAATAAACGTGAAGTATGAAAACACCCTGCTGATGCTGGAAATCAAACCTCAAGATCCAACCGTACATCTGTTTGTCTATATGCGTTTTGGTCAGCGACCGACAACTCAAAACTACGACCTCAATGCTACTATCTCTCATGACGAAAAGTGTGTTTGGATGATAGGCACACATGACAAAAGGGACGGACAAACGGTCTGCTTCTTGAATCCACATGCGCCAATACAAGTTCTGGCTGAGCGTCCTGGGAAATACTTACTCGGCTTAAAAAATTATAATGCCACAGTGAACTTATCTCACACAAGGGAGAAGAGATCTTGTCTTGGTGGAAGGCGAAGGAAGCGCTCCTGCGTCGAAGTCAAAGATCCACCACCCACCCCACCCCACAGTGAAAATGTCCCTGTGATGCCAGTTTATGATTCCACAACAGACCAGAACTACACTCTAAAGGTGACCTTGGGTAGTTGCGTTTACTGGTCAGAAACACTTGACAAGTGGATATCATCTGGTTGCCGAGTAAGTGAAAATTAAATAAAGGTTTTCAGCGCAATCTTTTCTATCTAATTTGAGCTTTCCTAAGTAATGTTTGTAAAAGTGCTGTGGTACTGCAATAATCTTCACTCATTAAGCTTATCATTGAATTCAGGCTAATCTTTGATTAGAGAACATTTTCAGACAAAAGTCGAATCGATTTGATAGCCAGCCGTGGTATAGAAGCGCCTTAAAACAAAAAAGATGCGGTGTGATTTAAGGTGACAGCCAAAATGATAATTTTTATCATTAAGATCTTCCTTGCCTTTATAATTTCAGGTTTTAGCAGAATCAGATGGATTTTTAAACTGTAGCTGTAGCCACTTGACGTCATTTGGGGGAAGTCTCTTAGTTGAACCGAATCCCATTGACTTCGACAAGGTTTTAGTCGAGTTCCAACAGTTATCAGAAACTGGAAATATCGCAGTTATTGTGGTTATTGCGGTGATTCTATTATGTTATGTGACTGTGATTATTATCGTAAGGAAATTCGACGAGGAAGACGCGAAAAATGTGAGTGTAGAGTCAGATTTTGCTTAGGATTGTTGTTTTAACGGAGCATGCTCTCCAGTTTAACCACTTCACTCCCATGATCTTGCTGTTAAATCTCCCTCCGGTTGCTATACATTTTTTTTGCAAATAAGTCATGACAATTTGATAATTGATCAAGATAACAAAATCTACCTGATAATTTTGAGTATTCTCATGACCTGTTACCTAGATAATGTACGGATATTTTTGGGAGAAGTTGCATGTTGATCACCCCTGGGAGTTAAAGTGTTAAGGAAAAAAAAAGGCTTTAAAAAATGAAGTGACAGTCTTTTTTTTTTTTTTTGGAATGGAACAAAAAAAAAAAAAAAATTAAGAATATAAATCAGCTTTAATTTTTTTTTTTTTTTAGAGGGAATTACCGATCCAACTTCCATCATCTTCAAGCTGCACCTATGAATATAATATAGTGATTACTTCAGGGGCTTGGAAAAACTCAGGCACGACTGCTCATGTTGCTTTGGAGATTTACGGTTCTGATGGAAAGAGTGGCATTCTTCAGCTTAGCCAAGAAGAACCTGGTGCAGTGAATACGTTATTCTCACGAGGTAATTCAGACGTTTTTGTACTTTATGTTAACAAATCACTTGGTGCGATTCAAGGAGTGCAGATTGGACATGATAATTTTGGAGATAGTCCCTCGTGGTACCTAGAAGAAATCCTGATTCGGGACGTACAATCTAAGCAGTCGTGGAAATTCATGGCCAATCAGTGGTTTGCTCTTGAGCGCGGAGATGGGCGCATCGAGCGAGTAATCGACCAGACCTCAAATAATTTGGATTTTGGCAATGAAGTTGCAAGACGTTGGCGAAGAGGCCTTGCGGAGTCGCATATTTGGATTTCAGTAGCAGCCAAGCTGAGAAAAAGCCGCTTTACAAGAGTACAGCGGCTGTCTTGCTGCCTCTCAGTGCTTTTGACATCTATGTTTGCTAACGCGATGTTCTACAAGTTAGAGGGCAAATATGAACAGCCTATCCAAGTCGGACCGCTGAAAATGTCGTGGAGACAAGTGGTAACTGGAATTGAAAGCGCACTTGTTGTGACACCCATAAACATTTTTACAGTGTTTCTGTTTCAGAAAGGAGCTGGAAAGTCTTCCACGAACAATGACTATTGTCTTAAAGGTACCCTGATCTCTGGTATCGCTTGGTGTTTGTTGTTTTTTTCTTGTACTGTTTCAGCTGCGTTTTCAATTTTCTACAGTCTAATTTGGGAAAAGAGTGTCAGTGAACAGTGGCTGTCTTCGATGCTTATTTCATTCGCACAGGATGTAACAATCAAGGAACCAGTAAAGGTGTTCTTCACAGCTTTAACATTCGCGGCCATTTTAAAGATAAAGGCGAAGAGATCAAAAGTACACGCCTGCGAAAGCCCTCAGCAAGTTAAATCTGGGTACTATAAGAAACATTTTTGGGCACTGCAATTATCAGAGGTGGAAGAGATGAGGAGACGACAAGCTAAGAAACAGAACCTGACACGTTATTTCACAGAGTTGGGTTTATACTTGGTCTTCGTTTTCTTGCTTATGGCAGTGTGCTATGGAAACAGAAATGACCATCGGTACTTGATGACGAAATCAATCCGAGATGGACTACCAAACTTTGGCAAAGTGAGTAGACATTATTTGATTATGATAAATTCATTGCTGAAATTCGCGTGTTTAATTTATCTTATGATTTTTTGTTTCCATGGAGATTCAAAATCAAATATATGAAGGAAAATTTTACTTTGCCGGTCTCTTCAAGAAATGACTAAGGCATTTTCTGCTCTTGTAATGGATATTTTGGGGAGGAATATCCCTTTAGAAACAGCGTACAAGAGATATGTTAATGCGCGAGACCCAAATTTAGGAATGGAAAGAAATTCCAAGCGATAGAAATATAATCCCATGAAGAGATTGGCATTCAATTCTGCCATAGGAGAAAACCAGTGAGCGGCAAACATAATATTTGAGGGGATGGGTGCAATGAAAATAAGCAAGTGAGAGTAATAGTCTAACACACGCCCATAAATAGTAACTCGCTTGTGTGACTCAAACTTCTGCTCTTCTATCCATACTGTTATACTTAAAATAATTATATATATATAGGAAGTCTGTGTTTCGGTTTTTCCGTATTACAGTGCTCGATACATACAAGTAGAGAGTGATCTGAATTGAGTTAAGGAAAAAACACAGAGACCGAGGTATTTCTCGACAAGCCTGTTTCGTGATCAGATCATTCTTCCGGGGATTTTAATGGAAAGAATATTTGTAACCATCGTAGATATACTATAAAATTTACGTAATAAATGTGGCGGTAACTTAAGATGCTTTGTTCAGCTGTGACAGCATGAAGACACGACTTCGTTACGTTGGTTAAATGATGACAATTCACATATATATATATATATATGCATGTTCACTAGTTTTTCTAGTTTGAACACTCTGGCATGGCTTAGATGATCCCACATATGTGAGATCACTTGGGGTGGCTATATGGTCTTACCTCCATCCTAGCATCAGCACTGCACTGATGAGGCCCAGAAGGCCGAAACAGTACTGTCTGCAGTTAGTTATATATATATATATATATATATATATATATATATATATATATATATATATATATATATATATATATATATATATATATATATATATATATATATATATATATATATATATATATATATATATATATATATATATATATATATATATATATATATATATATATATATATATATATATATATATATATATATATATATATATATATATATATATATATATATATATATATGTATATATATAGTTTTTTTGAATTTTATTTTATTTATTTGACCCAATGATCTTGTATTAATTCAGGTGACAAACAATACAATGTACTGGAGCTGGTTACAGCGTGTTTTCATCCCAGGAGTGTTTTCCGGCAGATGGTACAACGGTCAAAGGGATGAGCAAACAATTTATATTGGTAATAAACAATCTCTTCTCGTCGGAATGGCTCGAGTAAGGCAACTCAGAGTGAAAGCGAGTAAGTTTTTTTCCATTTTTATTACTTTTTGCATTTCAGTGAAAAGGCTATTTACCCACACACGTCATTTTTTATTGTATGGTTATACATATATAATTTAATCTGACAGAGAAGCGATCAAAATTATATATTGAGCTAAACAATAAGTTTTTTAAAATTCTTGAAGACAAAAATTTTTAACATGCACCGGTAACAGTTTCCTCGACTCCTGACCATTCTAACAATTATCGAGACGAGTGTTTAGGTAGCTGCGTTTTTTTTTATGAACGGTAATTAAATTTAGGTTTTGACGACGGCTCCCTTTTCCTCTGCAAGCAAATGCTACTTTGAAGGCTTCTAAAACAACTTTAATTCTCTATAACGGAGGTGTTCATATTAGTTAAAAAAGTACGAAATGTGACAAACCGCTGAGTGAAATGAATACCAAAACAAACTTCCTGATTATGATCCTTTGTTCCAACTTTCAGCGAAATGTAAAGTCCTAAACTATATGTGTTTCAAGGGATACTCGACAAAGACCGAAGACAAGACCGCCTACAACAAACCAGGCTGGAGGCCTGTCGACGGTACTCTGAGGAATGACGAGTTATTACAACTTTGCCCGAAGCCATGGCGATATCAACATGCCGAGGAAACCGACACTAGACCCAGGTGGGGACAGTTCTCCTTTTATGATGGAGGAGGATTTGTAGCAGACCTCGGGTATGATAACCTTACGGGGTTCAGCATAGTAACAAATTTACGAAACAACGGTTGGCTTGACAGGCAAACCAGAGTTGTCCTGGCAGAGTTTTCCACATATAATCCGTCGGTGAATATTTTAGGGGTTGCCACATACTTCTATGAAGTTGATGCATCTGGACTGAAAGCAGCCTCCATGCAAACTCATGTTCTTTCACTTGATTCTACGGACACGCCCTCACATCAGTTTTATTTGATTTCCTTGCTTCTGTACATTGTATTCGTTTTTTTGTATTTTGGAAGGGAAATTTTCAGACTTTACAATCATCGTTCTCGATATTTCAAGTCTATCTGGAATTGGGTCGAGGTATTCCAGATTCTTTTTTCTCTGATTGCTGTGGTGATGTACATAATACGACAAAGTAAAGCCATTTCAACCATGGGCAAACTGCATAAAAACATTTATGCAAATCTAAGTTTCCAAGAAGCTATCACTTGCCAAGAAGTAGAAAATGTCGTACTGGGTATTCTCACTTTCATCGTCACCACCAAGCTATTGCGAATCATTCGCTTCAACAACTATGTTGCTCTATTCTCCACAACATTGAAGATATCTGCACGATCTTTGTCATCCTTTAGCATCGTTTTATTCATTTTCTTTGTGGCATTTTTGCACTTCGGTGTCTTGATGTTTGGCTGTGTATCTGAGCGCTACTCTTCGGTGCTAAAAGGAGCCTATTTTCAACTCGAGCTAACTCTTGGTCGAGTGAAAGCTAGACCAATCAATGAATTAGCACAGGCTAATACCATATACGCCAAAATATTCGCCTTCTTAATTCTCTTCACGCTCACTATTCTCTGTATGAACATCTTTATCGGCATAATCAACGATGCTCTTTTGGATGCTAAGAACCATGTGAGCGAAAGTGAGCTGTATGATCTTATCGATGAGAACCGTTGCTTGAGCTCAAAAGAAAGAAAAGAATTTTTCAATGCAATCAGTAACAAGTTGAAACAGTCGAGAACCTCCAAAACGTCGGCAGAAGTGAAGGACAAAGAATCAGGAAATATTGGCCTTGACCCCACGAACAATTCCAATCTTAACTTTGATTTAATAAGTCAAGCTATCAAAGCCTGGAGGAAGAAAAGATCCAGAGAAACAATTGATAAACAGCAATGCAGTACAAGGAGACAAGCATTGTTCGACAGGATAAGCAACATGTTAAAATCTCTGAAAGGTGAAAGCAATGACGACTGCAGCAAACGTAGAGAAAAAAAGAAAGTAAGATTTCAAGAGGATGTCGTCGAGTCTTCCCTCCGTAAATTACGTAAGAGAGAACATGACCTGTTACAGCGGCTGGAGAGTATTGTTTCAGGGTTCACAGCAGAAGACGAAGAATTCGATTATTTATTAATAACAGCAGAGGTCTATCTCTACTAGGTAGAGAGAGTAAAAAGAAAAGGTGAAAGGAAGTAAAATACTTCATCGAAATCATTGTAAAAAAACAGATCGTTAAGCATAAATCATCTCGCACTCACAAAGAAATAGCAGGAATTCTCCAGCGTTTCGTAGCATTGTGGCAAATAACAAAAATAGGATAAAAACTTAGACAGTCATCTTTTTAAAATTTTTTCATAGCTGATCTCAGAGGAAGAACCTATATACAATTTTTCTTTGGAGCCTATTGATTGTATATAAACATGGCTCGTATTCAACGGCAAAAAATATGAACTGCTTCATATCATTTAAAATAGAGTTACACGAAGGAAGTTAAGTATTGTTATGTTATATAATCCGTCAGTTATATACATTCTACTGCAAAAAGATGGAACGATTTAGACGAATATGTTCGAGCCTCAATGACTTTAAAGATTTTAAAATTGTATTTGAGACTATTGATCATTTTATTGTTTAGCAACAAGTAGCCTTTACTTATCTTATTTAATATATTTGATTGGTTTCATTTATTGAAATATAATAATGAAATTGAATTAGTGTTTTCCATGAATAAGACTTACCTATTTACTCACTTAGACAGTTTCTTTATTCAGAGAAATTAGCACCACTTTGCTACTCTAAAAATTTCGAACGGAAGTAAAGTTATGTATGTATGAATGTATGTAGGATTAAAATTCTGCTGGTATCGAGCGTATTGACTCACTCCATTGGTGACGACTGATCCCCCACCTGTGCGCCCTTAAAACCATGGGATCCCCCCTCCCGCCAGACGATTGATAATGACTGATCTCAATAAGGAGCATTTCACGCGAGCTCCAAAAATTAATTGGTTTCATTGATGTCAACAAAGGGCTCAAACGCAGTGGGCCGCGACCATGGCCAAACCCTTCACGCCCGTGGTAAGCTAGGTGGCGCTTCCTGCATAAGCGATAGCTTCTCAGTCACATTTTCCCCAATTAGCTTTTGCAAGCACGTTCTTGGTTGTCAGGTACGCGTAAAACCAACTGAAACTTGTTTATTCGGGGGGTTTGCTGGTTAAACCGCGTAGTGATGTCTAAAACTGCCCCTTATAATGTTGCGTACAGAGGGGACGCTAAAAGCAATGTTTTGTTCGACAAGCATCGGGGAAAGATGTATATAGCCACGCTCTAACATCAACAATCAAATCGTAAGGATTATATTCAAATATATTTATTAAATAAGTATTCTACATTGTAATATTAGCGTAAAATACGTTTGCAGCAAGTACATGTTCAATGTTGTTCCAGTGCTGATCATTTTGGCTGCATATTACTTCCAATGCACAGAGTTGAATAATTCCACCGGTTCAAAACTTCGCCAAAAAAAGAGCCATAAAAGTTACATGAAACCTAAAGGGTATTTAAACTTTCGGTGGCTTTAAAAAGCAAGCTGGATCCTTCTTGACCTCCTGCGATATGGAAATTAATTAAAAAGGTCTAAATTACTGAGGTAAACATTCATCAGAAGCCCCGCATGTCTTTTCCGTTGAACACGTAAAAGGGCTTTGTCGGTGTAACATTTTTTGTAGCTAATACGAGCTTTCTCAACGCTGGAATAAAAACCAATTTAGGAAAGAGAAGGTAATTGAACTGGAACTTCGTATTACTGATCGCAATGTTTACTGTACAAACAAAATCGTTTAAGGGTGTGCTATTTATCTAGAAAACGGCTTTTTATTATTTGAATTTACAGAAGTTTCGGGACGCAAAACGCGAAAACAGTAAAATTTTACGAGGAGGGATCGCTAAGTATCATCAACGTTTTTTGTGTATAGCTTTTTTCATTGTTGTTGTTTTCACGAGGCTCGTATTTAAAAAGTGCAATATCAGTTTCCTCTACTTGCAATCCAAGTCACTACTCTCAATGACCAGCGGTGGCATGCATACCAAAGAACATTTAAGTTAGAGGTTACACTAAAGCCATTATGGTTTGAAGTGACCATCAATCTTCTCGACTGTAGCAACTTAATTCAACGCCGATTCTAAAGCCTGCTGAACATTTTGAAGTCTTTTCTGGACCGTTAGTCGATGCAAAGTATAAAATATTCATTTGCGAGTCTTATCAACGGTTGGTGCGTAAATGGACACAAAGGTCGGGTGACGGGTACAAGGTACGTTGTCATAGTTAGGAGCCTGCCTTGCTTAGTATCTTGGCATCGGGGTTCTACATCGTGCCTGTGTGGCTAATAAAACAAAACGCACAGTAAGGAATTGTAAAAAAGAATTTTGGCGAGCAAAATTGTTAAAAAATAAGGTGTGATTGGGGTACATTCAACATCTTTAGCCAGGGGAGGTGAATATTTTTGGGAGATCACATGATTTTCAAGGGGAAAGGAGAATCAGTCGTTGCCAACAGAGTATAAAGGGGGGCTATATAAGTTTAACTGCCATTGAGGGGTCACACAGAGAAATAGCAGAAATGAAATTCCCCAGCGTTTCGTAGCATTGTGGAAAATAACAAAAAGAGGATAAAAACTTAGAAAGTCATTTTTTTTTACATTTTTTTATAGCTGATCTCAAAGGAAGAACCTGTATACAATTTTTCTTTGGAGCCTATTGATTGTTAATAAATATGGCTCGTATTCAACGGCAAAAAATATGAACTGCTTCATATCATTTAAAATAGAGTTACACGAAGAAAGTTAAATATTGTTATGTCATACAATCCGTCTGTTATATATATTCCGCTGCAAAAAGATAGAACGATTTAGACGAATATGTTCGAGCCTCAATGACTTTAAATATTTTAAAATTGTATTTGAGACTATGGCTAATAAAACAAAACGCATAGCAAGGAATTGTAAAAAAAAATTTTGGTGAGCAAAATTGTTAAAAAATAAGGTGTTATTGGGGTACATTCAACATCTTTAGCCAGGGGAGGTGATTATTTTTGGGAGATCACATGATTTTCAAGGAGAAAGAAGAATCAGTGGTTGCCAACAGAGTATAAAGGGGGGCTATATAAGTTTGACTGCCAATTAACTGCCAATGAGGGGTCACCCAACCAAAACCATCCCCTGCACCATTTTTTTTCTTTTTTTTTTTTTCAACAAGAGAACTTACCTTTGGGAAGCCTTTCATCATCTCCGTCATTGTTCAGCATTCTCCTTTGTTTACGAAGCCTTTGTCTGCAACATGAATCATGACAGCAAAACTGCAAGTCAGGGGTGGATGCTGATCTCACATTTATGGACATTAAAACAGAGACTTCTGCTTTCGTGTCGTGGAAATTAAAGTTACATGGATTCACACAGCTATAGTGTTGGTAACTAGTTTTATATCTTTGTGTCAAGCTTTATTGGGCAAGATCAAAACGGAAAAAAAATATACAAACATAAATAATTAAAACCCAAAAAGAGTGCGCATGAACGGGACACTCAGACCAATGCGGGGTTCCTACCGTAGGAAAATATATACGGAAAAATAAAATCCAGTTGTAGTGAGAGGAGAAACTAACTGTAGAACAATTTAATTGTACAAAATGAGAAAGTTGAGGACGATGGCAGAAGCCAAAGATGAAAATGGCAGCGAAGCTCTTTCTATTGGAATTTAATCTCCCTGAATATGCAAAATCTTTCGTCAATGTGCTCATACATGGCGAGTAGAGAAGTTCTTGTCAAGTTTCTACTACTTAACTTTTATTAGAAATGACTTATTGGAATGCTATTGAATGTTGCTCACTCTCTGAGCCAATAAGAAATCAAAAACAGAGGGCCGGTTATCAACACGAGGTCTAATCCAAACTATGGTTTTACGCAAGCAGTGGGTTTGAAGTATCATTTATAAGAGGGTTAGCTTTAAGCCCTCTTGACACTGTTCACAAAAACATACGTTCAGAAAGGAGATTCAGCTATATTCAAGATAGTTTAGAATGCGGTTTTGTTAAACAACGGCTAAACTTTGTTTTATTAACCGCCCAGAGACTTTAACTATAACTTTGATATAATCTTATCCTCGCAGCTACTTAAGTGCAAGTAAGCACACAGCGAACAAAACAGTTTCGAGACCTGAATCTCTAAATACAGTATGAGTGCTTCACCCTCAGGTGTAACATGTTATTTTTAAAGAAATGAAAGTCCCTTCTTCAACCTTAAGTTATTGTCGAACAGCCAGGCTTTGTTATTTGAGAATGTTATCCAGTTAATGAAGTTTATTCAGGCCTTTAGAGCACAGGGTCAGTCATTTTCTCATCGTTTCGCGCAGATAAACACGGCCCATATTATCCCACCGATTCCAGGTACGAAAGCTAAGGAAGCAGCTTTAATGTACACGATCATCCAGTCTGCAAGAAAACACAACGAGATTATGGTGACGTGCGCTTAGTTTCCCTAACTGAAGACCCTGGATTATTTTAGCACCAAAGCCAAGCTAATGCAATTTTTTTTTTATTCATTTTTTAAATTGAGTTATAAGGTACAGATTTCAATTGTGATGCAAAGTGAGGTGGTAGCGGTTTTTTTTTTTTTTTGAGAAAAGAAAAGAAGATGGTGCGAAATTTAAGAAATATTCATGATTACGGGTGAGGAAAAATTTCTGGAGTATCAAGATGTTATATATTCATTTTGGACCGACAACCTTAGGTTGGCGGGGACGGGCAAAACAGACGAGGTGAGCTAACCTTTTTCCTTTTGACCGGACGATCTGTCGGTTTTGTAACCTGATGTTGACTCAGTTCTTGTCGCAGGAACTTGCTATACCGTAGATGTTATCAAGTAATTGTTTTATCTGCCGTAGTTGACCAGCCCTCGGCTGCTATTTCTGTCAGGAAATAATCATTATCACTGGCTTGGCTTGCGTGTTCTTTGATTAGATATATTCACGAGGTTTTATTCGGTTAGCTCAGCTAAAGTGTAGATTCTACTGCGCCAAATTCTACTTGGGATTGGGCCATAGTTTCTCTCTACACTGCTACTCATCCATTCTATCAAGTCAAATTCAGTACGTGCGCAAACCAAATTAAAT